CCCCCCCCCCCCCCCCTCCCCCCCCCCCCCCCCCCTTCTATAACCAGGAGAAGGATGAGTACACCCAGAGCATCATCGCCGACATGCAGAGGCTGGGCCTGCGCTACGCAGGCATCACCTACACGTCTGGTGCGGCCCTTATGCATTGGGTTGCAGAGAGCCAGGGGCTGCGGTGTGGTAGCTGGTCAATGGCATCGACCAATCCAGCACTCTCCACTCTCTCCTTCCCCCCATTTCACACCCTCCCAATCACAAAATCCGATCCAGACTACTTTGAGCAGCTGGCCGAGTGTGCGCGGCGCATGATCGCCAAGGGCTATCTGTATGCTGATGATACACCCGTGGAGCAAATGCGTGAGGTGGGAGAACAGTAGCATGTGCTGATGGGGGGTGAATTCAAGTTTGTTGCAAGCAGACGCCTGGGGATGCGCCTTTGGGGGTGGGCCTCTCTGGAGGTATGCAGGTGAAGTTGCACTACGCCCGGGCCGACCTGCTGGTGGCTTGATCAGGGCTCGCTCACACCCCTCCCTCTGCCACCTTACCTACCTCAGGAGCGCATGGCGGGGACGCCTTCTGTGCGGCGGGACAGGCCCGTGTCGGAAACGACGGCGATCTTCGAGGAGATGCTGGTGGCGTCGGAGGAGGGCCAGCGGCACTGCCTACGCGTGAAGCTGGACATGTCGGCGCCCAACAAAGCGCTGAGGGACCCCGTGGCGTACCGCTGCAACCTGGAGCCGCACTGGAGGACCGGCCAGAAGTACAAGGTGTGTGCGAGATGGCAGGTGGGGGACTTGGGGCACAGACCTCATTTATGCGCTCCAGAGCTGCTGAGACTCGGTGGATGTCGTGGGTGAGACGGAATCTGATGCTTGCAAGCATTGCTGAGGTCATGCCATCCTGTTGGATTCAGTGTCATTGTCTGAGCTCAGCCCCTCCTTACCACTTCCCATGATGCACAGTGCTACCCCACCTACGACTTTGCTTGCCCCTTTGTGGACGCCATTGAGGGTGTGACGCATGCGCTCCGCACCTCGGAGTACAAGGATCGCGAGGTACGAGGGGCGTTTGAGCACTGGGACGGGAATGGTTTGATGTAGTGTGGGGATTCTCCACATTATACAAGCTATATGCACCACCATGTGCTCCTTCATGCCTGCATCACTGCATCACCCCTCCTTCAGTTTCTGCATTTTTCCAACCCCCCCCCCCCCAAACTTTTGATCCTTTGCTCCACAGGCCCAGTTCTACATGATCCTGAAGCTGCAGCAGGATGTCTGGCCTGGTCTGCCCCACGTCACCATGTGGGACTACGCCAGACTGTCCTTCATCTACACCGTCCTCTCCAAGCGCAAGCTCACCTGGTTTGTGGAAAACGGCATCGTGGATGGCTGGGATGACCCCAGGATGCCTACTGTCCAGGTGGGTTTCCTGCGCTGTTGATACGAAGGGGTTGGAATGCGAATGCAGTGCGGCTTTACTTGCTCTGGGAACGGGGATGAGGGTAGAGCAGACCTAAGATCGCTGTCAGGCGAGCTTGTGAGCCTCCATGATCTTGACAAACATGCTCATGCGGTGGGGTCCACCGTAGAGGCTTGTGGCACATCTGTCATGGTATGAGCGCCTGCGCCCACAACCCGCGCTGCTGTCCATATTCACCTTGTCTACCTAAACGCGCTCGGCACACTCGCAGGGCATCATGAGGCGTGGGCTAAAGATGGAGGCGCTCAAGGAGTTCATGCTGGGGCAGGGCGCCTCCAAGAACATGACGTACCAGGTGGGGAACCGGTGGGAAGCTGAGAGGTGTACTGTGGAAGGGATGGAGCCATGCAGGATTTAGGAGTCGGATGCCCAACAGTTCCGCTGCTATTTTGTGACTGGCATGCTGCTGCCAGATCGCATGTACTCCTCAATCAATCCTGCACCCTTTTGCTTTGCCAGGAGTGGGACAAGATCTGGACCATCAACAAGAAGCTGATTGACCCTGTGTGCCCGCGTCACACTGCAGTCGAGCAGAGCAACAGGTGGGCGAGGGGTCCTGCACATTCGGGGATGACTGAGGGGGAGGGTGTGGCTTCTGCAGCTAGGGCTTTGTGGACAGAGTGACCAGCTCCTGGCAGCTTTGCCTCCTCGTCCATCACGCTTCACCCTGTCCCCCTCACATGAGCCATACAAATTGTTGCATGATCGTCCACCGGTTCCAACCCCCCCATTGGCAATTGCCAGGGTGCTGGTCACGCTTTCCAATGGTCCTGCCAGTCCCGAGACCATGTCTGTGCCTAAGCACGCAAAGTATCCCCCTGCGGGCGAGAAGATCCAGACCCGCACCAATGTGAGTTGCGCTGGGATTCGGGTGGGAAATGGGTTTACACTGTACATGCCTTTGGTTTAGGCAATGGAGAGCTGGATGCTGGGGAGTCCCGGCCTCTACAGAGTCACTGAGAGCCAGAGGGGTTGCTTTCCTTCCAACTCTAGGAATTGCTCCCGGCCTGTCGCCCACTACTGCCCCTCTCTACCACCTGCAGCGCATCTGGTGGGACCAGGCCGACGCCGCCGTGGTGGCCGAGGGGGAGGAGGTCACGCTCATGGGCTGGGGCAATGCCATTGTGCGGAAGATCTCTAAGCGCGAGGATGACACTGTGCAGTCCATTGAAGCAGGTGGGCATGTGTGCGAAGCATCCTCTGTGGTCTGGGGGTTACAGATCACAACCTGGACATTTGCCGCCTGGATCTGGTCCAAGTAACACCAACTAGTCCAGAGGCCGTGTCTGCTGTCCATGTCAGCCCCCTATCCTGACTACCCACCTGTGCAGAGCTTCACCTCGAGGGAGACTTCAAGAAGACGAAGCTGAAGCTCACCTGGCTTGCAGATGTGAGGAGGAAGAGTCATTCTGTTGGGTGCATTGTGATGTGGTTGTATTTTGGATGGTATCATCTACACCCAGATTGCCTTGCTGGATAAGGCTCCACCATCCACCTGAGATGAGCTCAGGGGAAGGACAGGTCACCCCCCTAAAATCACACCACCTCCTCGTGCAGATTCCAGAGCTGGTACCACTCGAGCTCCACCACCTGGGTTACCTCATCAACAAGAAGAGGCTGGAAGAGGATGACATATTTGAGGAGTGTGTCAATAGGAACTCGGTGCGTAGGGGTCAGGGTCTGCGTGGGGGGGACCCTGCTTGACAGCAGTGGAATGGAAGGGTCAACTGTCGCTCTCACGTGCCTACAAAGAGGAAGAGTCTCTTCCACTGCCTTGATCCCCCACCCCTCCTCCTCCCTCACCTCAGCGCACCATAACTGCCGCCGCTGGCGATGCCAACATGGCGCAGCTGCAGAAGGGAGACATCATCCAGCTGGAGCGCAAGGGCTACTTCATCGTGGATGCCGGCGTGGAGCACGGTGGAAGTGTTGTCCTGCTCAACATCCCGGATGGGCGCACCAAGAACATGCCTGGTGCCTAGACAGGCTCTCAGCTGGCGTTCTGCCCTGTTCAGATTAGAGTGATGACAAATCGGCCTCGGGCCGTCCCCCGGGGAGATACGCGCCATTGAGGTGACACCCTCGATCTGGACACATGGACCCATGATCATCATACCAACACAAAGGTGGCTATCATTTGACATTATAGCACATTTCAGATATACAAAAAAACCATGGGCGCCATGTCGCTACAGATGTCGTGCCGGAGGGCACAGCTGGGTGACAGGAGGTGCGCAACACAGCTTGCGCGGGCAGACTCACCAATTCTTATATGAAGCTTGGAAGTAAATCGATTCATTTCCCGGGTGCAGGTTAGCTAAGGAGGTGATGCCTCGAGCGGGGCCCTGTGGACTGCGGTCCGCCCGTGCTGCACAGAACTCCATGCACCGAAACGGACTGCTTCCACCCAAAGCCCCCTCCGTGCCTCCCGCGACCCGCGCGCAAAAGCAATCTAGGCTGCATGCTGCGGCATCGGCATCTGCTCCAGCCACCCAGTCCCTCGAGAGTCTTGAGATGTTCGCGGTGCTGGATAAGAGAGGCCTCATCAGGCCGGAAGTGCCGGCAGGAACATTGGTGAGAAGGTGCATCGTGCACTTTTGACTTTGATAGGCCGGGATGCTCTGGGAGACCACGGCATGTAGAGCGTGGACGTCCCTGCCTCTGAGTACAGACCCTCAGTGCTCAAAACTTCCTGTAGGCCACTGTCTTTGCGGTGTATGATGAGGCCAAGGACTTGCAGTACATTGGGTTTTCGAGGGATCTGAAGAACTCACTCCGCACCGTGTTCTCCCGTCGCCCTGAGAAGACTCATCACATCAGGTGGGTGACGGGGCCAAGAGGAAAAGGGAGGAACCTAATTCGAGGACTGTATGATCCACTGTCACAATCTACCAGATTTACACGTCACCCTCTGATCATGCCTCTCCATCAGGGCACTGCACCTGCCACGATTGGATCAAACCGAGCTGGTGGGCATCAGGGCTGCCTGGTTTAAGGAGGGTTTTGGACCTCCCCCTGGCAACAAATGTGAGATTGTGCTGGTTCAAGTCTGGTTGCATGCTTATCTTTTCTGGAGTGAGAGTGACCTATGGCTGGGTATTTCTTGCACCTGCCCGTACTCAACCCGGCTCTCCTATTTGTTATGATCTTGCAGTGGATGCTGAGAAGGCTGCTTGGCAGCAGCCGGTGGAACCCTTCACCATCTCTGAGCGTGGGAAGGCGGCTGCGGCTCTTGAGACCGTCAAGGAGGTGTGCTTTGATGCCTATTGATCTCATGTGCAGCTTGCAGGGGATGCATTGCTATACTCTGTGTGAATGCGGATTGGTGCGCCAGCATTTCCAAGACGGGCCCATGCTTCCCGTTTGGGCCCCTGTTCCCATCACCCCTCTCCACAACCAAACATCTCTGCAGTTGCAAACAAGGATGAAGCTGAGGGGCTGCAAGGAAGTCTTTGAGGCCAACGAGGAGCTGCTTGCGGAGGGAAGGGTGGACTTTGTCCCAGCCAAGCAAATCACGGCAGAGGACGAGGCACGCCGGGAGGCCGAGGAGGCCGAGGCGGCAAGGGCTGTGAGGTGAGGGTCTGTGCATGTGCATCATGGACAACCTAGGCTTGCCAACAGGTCTGGTCGTGGTTGGCCGGAGCTCGGGCTGCCACTGTCACATGCAATCTGTCCCGACTGCCTTCTGACCCCATCACTGTGGTGTGCAGGGAGTGCATGGTCATCCAGGATGGGCATGAGCTGAAGTACCAGATCAAGGTCCATCTGGCCTACAAGACGAATGGTGGCATGCTGTATGACATCACTGTCACCTGCCAGGTGAGGCCGTGCAGCTCTTGTTTGAAACTTGTAGGCATTCTAGGAGAGAGATGCATCACCAGGGTTGCCCTACGAGTCAAGGGCGGTCAACGCGCCGGATGAGCATTCAACATTCTCGACCAGCAATCCTCTCACCCAACATTTCTCCCCAGGACAAGGAAAGCGTGCACAGGGTGATCATTGGTAAGGACTACTATGAGCCCTATGGGCTGGCCCCGGAAGTCACCCTGGACCGAACAATGGGCTTCATGCTGAGCATTCGCCAGCCCCGGCACACGGAAGGTATGCGCCGAGTCTGAGTGCACTGAACTCCCTCCCGAGGGTAGTCGGGGATGTGCGCAATGCAAAGTAGCTGTTGCTGTGCATCCGGACCTCCATACAACCAAGGATGCCTGTGGCAGCGGAAACATTCTGCATGAGATGCACCTCGTCTGGCCCCTCCCCGGCGAACCCATTGCATCTCTCCCGCAGGCATCATGCTGAGCAGCCAGTTCCCCATCAACTACTTTGCTGTGTCGGAGGTCGACCAGTCCTTCCCGGAGTTCAACGCCGTGTTTGCTGACGTGGGCGAATTGCCAGGGTCAAAGGCAGCCTGGTACTTCAGGCGCACAGAGGACTATGGCTACAAGGGGGAGAACGAGAGTGCAGATGACCTAGGGCGCCAGTTTGCCCTGGAGTGGTGAGTGCGAGAGGATGGATGCTTTGTGGCTCAGGGGTGGAGTGTGTCGCTCTGGCCTCTTCCCATGCGGTCTCGGGTTGGTGATACAGGGGCAGCATTCTCAGGTGGGAGTGCTGGGTCTCGTTTGAACCCTGGCCGTGGGATGCGAATTCACCAAAGCTCACTGGCACCTTGCCTGTGAACTACAAGGCCAACAATACCAATCGCCTGCCCTTTGTACCATTGCAGGGTTTGAATTTTTGCTGCACAGCACTGGCGAAGGAGAGCTTTAAGAATGTTGACATAGTGAAAAGCTGCATGAAGGCTTGCGCATCCAGGGGATGTCTCGCTGCAAGGTTGTATAACGAGAGCAATAGATGATGGGCATGGCACACGGTGTGCTCCACTGGTGGTGCTCCTGGCACCTGGACCCAGGGCCACCATGCACGCTGCAAGAGGAGTCCCGTGCTTGGATGATCAATCTCATCGCAGCTCATGCGCCCGCAGCGGCTCCTGCGCCTCGATGTCGATGCTCGGGCTCTGGCTGCCCTTCCTCCGCAAGACTGCACAAACAGGAAGGGGCTCTAGCTGTGGGCCTGGGGTGGCATGGAGCACAGATGGGCCCACCTCCTCACTCCTACCACCAGGCATGCCCGGCAAGCAGGGTCATCCTTTCTCCCGCACAGGCACGCCCTCCCGCCACCAGCCCACACCCGCCCCCCACCTGACAGCGCGCAGAGGACCACCATGAGGGCCACAGCGGCGAGGCTCGCCCATTGGAGCATGGCGGACTCGTCGCTGGTGCCCTCATACGTCCCCACCAGGCCCCACACCAGCGTCAGTCCGAAGACGGTGTCGCGCTGACGCAGCGTGACGGCCGCACCTAGCAGCATCACCCCTGCCAGGAAGGCCAGGCTCGCCAGGTCGAGGTCCGCTGGGTCCACCTAGGGTGTGGTGTGTGGAGGAAGTATCCTTTCAGCATTCCAGCCAGGCGTGGACATGGGTCCGCGCAGCGCTGGGGTCCCCCAAGCTGTCTACACCGACTGGCAGACCCACTCACGCTGACGATGAGTGCGGCCACTGCGGTGGTCGCGGCAGCCAGCGTCAGCCAGGCTGCCAGCATGGAGGTCGGGAGGAAGTAGGCCAGGTACAGCAGGCGGCTGGAGGTGCGCCCGAATTGGCGTCTCAGCCTGTGAGATTGTGAGGCGAGGATGAGGCCTGGCAGCGAGCGGGTCTGTGCTGGGCTGGTGAGATCGAACCCATCCTCATGGCCAGCCATCTCCACCATGTACCAGCTGCCGGGCAGCCGGGAATGTGAAACCGACAACCACTCCTAGACATGTACAGTGTAAATGGAACGCCTCCAATGCAACCACCGACCCCTCCTCCCAATCCCCATCATCGGTCCAAAACAAACACCTGTAGAGGTGCAGGAGGCTGCGCAGTGTGATGAAGAGGGCTGCCAGGATGCATGCTAGACCCAGCCAGGTCCCACCCGGGGTGCCCTGGGCCAGCGCCGCCAGCCAGCCCAGCGTGCACATCGCTCCCAGAGCCCACAGGAAACTGGTGGCATGCACACATCGCTGCTTGTCTCCATCTGGATCGTAGCCTGAACAGGTAGGAGAGGGTTGGATGCTCAGAATGGGGATACCTGCCAGCGCTGGTGCATGGACAAGGAGGTTGAGCACAACAGACTCTTGAAGGGACACAGCAGGACAGGGCATGAGTATGATCCCCTCACCTGATGGGAGGAGCTGATAAACCATGCCTACTGCCTGGAGACCAAATATGACGAACCAGATGTCCTGTGTCCACCTGGGCGATCAAAGGATGTTGCGTTAGGGTGTGTGCCGACAAAGCCCCGACACCCCGCCCCTTCTCCCTGCAGTTTACCCTCCACTACGACAACCTTGCAGGCGTGACGGGGGTGCTGACGGAGGGAACAGTGAGATGGGTATAACCCCAAGGGGAGACTGCGAAGGCCATGGCCAACAGCCACCCCGCCAGCCAGAGCACCCGGACCTCGGTCCTGGGCACCTGGCTATTGGGTGACCAGATGTCCTCGCCTGCCATCGCGTCACAGCCTCGGTGCTCTCCTCATGCCACTGGCTGAATACCCAATGTAGATGGTTGAGCCTGGAATGTGGGCATGCGCGAAACAGAGGCACAGGCGAGCAACAAGCCCACAGGCGCGAAGTCTTTGCAGATCGTGCAGGTCGCTGGTACCGCTGAGATACTGCTCGTTTGAACCACAGCTGTCCCGCATGGGTACAAGGAGCGGGTGAAGGGCTGTGGACGGCCTTACTCTCTACAACTCGGATCTGGTTGCAAACAAGCCGCAAATTGCAGAATTGCCATCATTTATAAGAATTATGAAGTTCTCAGCCATCCTTGTTCTGGCCCTGGCCGTTGCGACCACTGCCTCCCCGCTGATCGTGCCCCACGAAGAGCTGTGCAGCGAGAAGTCTGCCCCAGGTCAGTGCACATTCGGTTCATACTTCAATGTTTGCTCCCGATCTCCAATTCGCGAAGGGGGCGCGCCCCTGCCTATGCACCTTGCGAGGAAGGCATACGGACCAGCCAACGGTGCTCAATCTGTCCAATCATAAAGTCGCAGGAGGCTTCTCGCCCGCGAGCCTCAACGAGCCCGCGACTCTGGAAGTCTTTGAGGCCATCGCTGGTAGGAATGAGGTCTGCCGAGGGGAAGTTTCTTGTGACGTGATTGTCCACCACATGCCACAGCCCTCCCTCGTACAGTTTGTGTGCAGCAGCTTGAACAAGTCCACTTGCATCCCTGACATCGACCGACCTATACTCGTACCTATAAAGAGACTTCTGTGTATTCTTCTTCCTCAATAAATACCTTAACTCCTTTAATCATCAGATGAGTTCATCCTGACGCACAACACTACGGTCACGTGCGACGACTTTGTCATTGAGCCCTTGAAGGCCTGCTCCCAGGTCGTGGCCGGCACCAACTATGAGGTCATCATGCACATCATCTGCCCCGTCAGCGACACCACCATCACCGTGTACGGATCTGCGTATACAACCCTCACTCGTACAGTTTGTGTGCAGCAGCTTGAACAGGTCCACTTGCATCCCTGACATCGACCGACCTATACTCGTACCTATCAAGAGACTTCTGTGTATTCTTCTTCCTCAATAAATCCCTTAACTCCTTTAATCATCAGATGAGTTCATCCTGACGCACAACACTACGGTCACGTGCGACGACTTTGTCATTGAGCCCTTGAAGGCCTGCTCCCAGGTCGTGGCCGGCACCAACTATGAGGTCATCATGCACATCATCTGCCCCGTCAGCGACACCACCATCACCGTGTACGGATCTGCGCACCTGCCACTGCCAGTCAAGGGCGGCCGGCCCCTGATGGTGGGCGAGGTTGAGCAAGTCCCTGAGTAAGGAAGCTTGCGAGGGCAAGCGAGTACGTGTTCCAACCCAGTTGGAAATTTACATTTGAGCTAGAATCCATGTTCACACCATGCAACCCAACCTCATCAAATCCTGCTGCTGCCTTGAAAAAAGGCTTTTCCCCATGACCTCAGTCTGTAGACATCATGCCAACTCTATGAGAAATCAGAGCTGAGCCGTAGTGTGGCCAATAATAGGGGAGGATTTCCAGGCTATGCGTGAGGGGTTGGTGACTGCCTTGCTTTTGTGCTAGTGCGACAGGTTTGGAGGTTCCTTGCAGATCTGAGTGCAGGATGTGACTCTGGGTGCCGGCTCCGGGAGTAGAACTCAAGCTGATTGTCCGGTCGTCGCTTCGATCCTTTTTGCATGGCAGGAGCACATGTTCTACCACGTTGCCGTGTTCATGGGCTTAACGACCCTCACTCAACACATGAAAAGCGTCATTGCTGGTAATTTGTCCACCAATGGGTGTTAGTTGGATCCATTTGAACATTCCATGTGGAAGCTCTGTGGGTGCGGCAAGCCATCCGGCCCGCGGGCGGGGCGGGCGCGCACGCGTCAGAGCCCGCCCCGCTGAAAATTTCGACTACGGGTCTGCGGAACGTGTCGAGGGACACTTTGCAATTCTCCGACATCCCATCAGCTCTACCGAGAGGTTCTTAAGACGAGAAATAACCATGTCGAGGTTTAGCTGCTTCATCGTGTTGCTGCTCTGCGCTTGTGCTGCAGCCGCGCCTACAATCTCCGCGGAAGAGGAGCTCTGCGACGACCAGGGCCTAGCCGGTGAGCACTCCTGACTGATTGATTGGAATTTCAAGAACATTGCATTGCCATGTTGTCACCTCGGCGTACCCTAGCGTGGCCTTGGGCATGTCGTGTGCTGTGCGGTCGTTACCGACACGTACGCCGGGGCACTCCTCCTGCAGGCGGCTTCCACAAGGCGGACACGAGCTCATCGCAAACCCAGGATGTCGCAGTTGCAGTAGCCGGTATGTGCATGCCGGGTGTGTGGCACTGGAAGCTGCTATGCATGAGGCTGTGAAGGGACACATCAGACATGGCCTCCAGCAAATCACCCCCACCCCACCCCCCTCTTCTTACAGACCAGTTCATGTCGTCCGACCACAATCCAATGGACTGCGGGGAGTTTGCGGCCGTGCCCCTGCAGGCCTGCACCCAGGTCGTGGCCGGACTGAACTACGAGGTGCTGGTGAACATCACCTGCACCGACGGCGGGTCTATTGTCGTGCTGGGCACCGCCTTTGTGGGGTTGCCCGTCGACGGCAAGCAGCAGATTGAGGTGGAGAGCGCAGAGGAGGTCTCCACCTAGGCAGGGGCGAGGTGTGGCACGGTCCGAGTACCCCGCTTTGCTCTGCTCCCACCGGCCCAGCCGGGGGGCCCAGATTACCTCCCGCTCCGATTCAGTCGGCCATCGAATGATGCGGGCTGCAGACTCCGCCACACACCGATTCCCTGGCCAGGGCCCCTGGTCCTGGTGACCGATGAGCGGGTTTACCCATCTGCGGGCTGCAGCCCCCCTCTCCAGCTCATTTCATTCACTGTCCCCCTCAGTAACCCCATGTACGGGCGTCTCACAGCTGTAAGGCACCATGCGACGCCCCTGGTTCCCGTCAGACAGACTCAGTACTGCCCGTGCAACTGCTCGTGCACCGCCCAGATCTTGTCCAGCGTGCGCAGCGTGGCGGCGTTGGGCACCAGTCCCCCCCCAGTGCAGGCGTCCCGCACCATGGCCTCCGCGTCGCGGGGGTTTGAAGGGCCCAAGGAGCACAAATCCCTGCGGGCAGGGGTGTGGGTGGGGTGGGTGGTGGTGCCTGCCACGGATCGGTGTCGCGGCCCCTGCTCGACGCCAGGCAGTGGGCTTGAAAGGGGACTGTGGGTACTGAAATTCCTGATGCCAGCTGCGGCAGACTGGGCCGGGACCTGACCTTGGGTCATGGGCCCCCTCCACACACACACACGCCGGTCCCCAGCCTGCCTGAGCATGTCGTTGAGGTGGTCTACAGAGAGGGGCGTCTCACAGGCTGCGCCCATCCCCGGGCACGGCCCCTCGCTGCGCCCCCCCTCACTGTTGGGGGTGAGACCTCGCTCCGGCCAGCATGCGGCGGCGGGGGCGTGGAAGGTGGACGAGCGCGCGGGCGGGTGCGGCGCCTCCAGCGCCGCCCTGCTCAGCCCGAAGCGGGAGGTCAGGGGCTGGGCATCACGGGAGGAGCATACCGAGGGTTCCGCGGCAGGCTCCTTGGGCCTGTGCAGGTCGGGGGGTGGCAGGAGCGAGCAGTGAGGCAAGAAAGATATCAAGCTCGTTCGATACTTCAAAAATGCTGAGCTCCATCGGCCCCACACAGATTCAGCTTCCCGGACCCAGGCACAGGACAGCCTGACGAAGGAATCTGCCGCCCCTCTGCTTGCACCCCACCCTTTCCCATCGACACACTTTCTCACCTTCCCCCTGAAGAAAGCGCGGCCCGCCTCGACTCGCGGACCAGGTCAGCGCCGACGGCCGCACCCCGCGGCGTCGCCAGCTGGAAGTCTGCGCGGGTGCGCAGCACGAAGCCGTCTGCACCCGCGCCGGGCCGCCGGACGCTGACCTCCTCGTCGCTGTCCGAGTCCCTGGCCGGGGACAGGCCCAGGCAGAAGGGGCTGGGGCAGGTGAAGCAGGTCTTGCGCTGCAGGGTTGGGCGGGGTGTGGAGGGTGTGGAGGGTGTGTGGGCTGGGTGACAGGATGGCGGACAGCAGGGTACCCCATGGTCCAGAGATGGGCGCACGCCCAGCAAGGGGCTGGACATCGACGACAGGCTTTGATCCCGGGGCCAAGCCGAGGGGGCCGTGGTGCAGCGCCCGCCACTGCAGAGCACCAGACGCATCGGACCTCCTGCCCATGCGGCCCTGGCCTGCCCAGCCACCTGCAAACGCACTCCACCCCCCAACCACCTCCTCCCCAAAGTACAAAAGCTCCCCTGCGCACCTGGGAGCTGCCCCGGCTGGCGCGGTCCGAGGACCGCGTGCTGCCGGGGTCCAGGGAAGAGGTGGTGGTGCGCGCCGGGGTACGCGCCTGCCACCAGTGGCCCTGGCCCCGGCGCGGGCGGGGCGGGGTGGCCTGGCCGTGCGCCGGCGCGCTCAGCGCGGGCGCGCTCAGCAGGGACCCCGCACCCACATCCTCGCCGTGCCGAGCGTGCTGCGCCGGGTCGGGCCCCAGCGCGCGCAGCGTGCTCAGCAGGCCGCACCCCTGCGCGTCAACCATGGACGTGGCCGGGCTGGAGCCCCCCACGCTGGGCGGCGCCGGGGCGGGCACAGGTGAGGCGGGCGGCGCGGGGGAGGGCGAAGGGGTGCGGCGGAGGGAGTCTGGGGAGGCGGCGGCGTGGCTTCGACGCCCTGTGGATGGACGACGGGGTCACAGGAGGTCAGGGGGGTGATCATCCCAGGTCCACAGCTGCAGGCTCAGCGCCGTCCCAGCCTGGGTGCACCCCACACAGGGGCTGCCGATGTCATCCAGGGTACCAGAGGGGGGAACGCCCCTCGTACTCTCATGCATGCACGCACACTGGCTCCGCCACCTGAGATGCTGGACTGCAGGGTCTGGATGTCGCGGAAGGAGGCGACGTCCAGCCCCGCCTGGAGGGGCGAGTACTTCTTGCGGTCAGGGGGGCCGGGTGAGCTGCGATGGAACAGCCCCTGCAGAAGGAATGTGAGAGGGGGGGGGGTGCCCTCTAGAGCGCAGCATATGGAGCAGGGTGGGTACCTTGTGGTGTGGCTGTCCTTCCAAGGAGCAGCCTGAGCTTGCGCGCAGCAGGGGGGCGGCCCTTGGTGGCTGCCGCAGAGCCCCAAGGCAGACCTGCCCCTGGCTGTACTTCCTCGGTACAAGCGACCCGCGCATCAAGCACACCTGCGCCAGGGGTCCTGCCGTGTGCAGTGCCGGGATATGGTCGTCCAGGCCCTGGGACATGCGTAGGGCCCTGGCAGCCGGGCTCTGTCCGTCTGGAGGAGGAAACAGCACAGGAGCATGGGCTGCTTGACAGGCAGGGGCGACACCATCCTTCAGAATCCCGCCCTGTGCCACATCACCATGAGAATTCGGCCCCACAATCGTACCATTGTGACGCTTTGGGGGACTGGTGTACTCAAAGTCCTCGCTGATGGTGAGCGGGGAGGGGTTGTGTTTGTTCCGCTTCCGCCTGTCCCTCGGTGCGGACCAGGGCGAGTGCTGCTGCTTCTCCCCTCGTTCGCCTGGCTCCAGCACATACTCTTCTCCCGTGACACTGGTGTACATCGGGGTATCCATGGGGTTTCAGGGGGCAGGGTCGGAGCTGCCGCGAACCCCTCACAGCCTGGGTCCTGACATCTTGCCGGATGGGAGAAACAGCCGATGCAAGACCCGATTCCGACAAGCTCGAGGGAGGAGGTGAGGCGGTCCAGTAGATCGTAATGATGTATGCATTCGACAGTGGTGGGCCGCGCACCTGGTACCATGCGCTCCCATTCGAACTGGCGCTGGCTGTGCTCTGCTTTTTGCGCGACGTCATGCTGAGCCATGACGGGCCGGGCACCCCGGCAAGATCTCGCATGTGTGAACAAAACGCTCGAGGATGCAGGATTACCGGAGAATTTGCCCATTAATGCACTGCTTAAACCTTTCTCGGGTGCTGAGCCCATACTGCATTGGATCCAGCGCCGGGAGGGCTGACTTGCCCCCGCTCATTGGATGGGAGGTGGTGGCACCGAATCCCCAGACAGCAAGAAGGCCCGTACTCACGCGCAGGCCTCGCCGCCCCCCCCCGTGGTTCTGGTCTGGGACATTGACGAAACCCTGGTTATTTTCAACTCCCTGCAGAATGGGGAGTGGGAGCGTGCCCACTCGGACAGCGGTGCAGGGGAGGCCCAGGCCCTGGGCTCCCAGTGGTCCTCCGCGGTGCTAGACCTCGCGGACTCCCACCTCTTCTACAAGCAGGTGCTTGGGTGGTCAGTGGACGGTCATGGGCTGATTGATGCTGTCCCTGGGAAGCACTTTTGAGGCTGTGTGTCTTCCATCACTGCCAAACTCCCGTACACATCCCAATGCCAGCTGGAGACTCATGGTGTCATGAGTCTGGAGGATGCAGCCGCGGCAGATGATGGCCGGGACCTGGCGTCCTACGACTTTGATGGGGATGTGGTGGGAAGAATCCAATCCTGTGAGGGGCCGGCACCGGCGTCAAACGACCCCGGGCCCTGCACCCCTCCCCCGGAAGCGGCATATCGGTACCGGGAGGCGCACCGGCGGTACTCCCTCGGCCTGCTGGCCGACGCCGCGCTGCCCAGCTCCGACCGGCTCTGGCACGCCACCGACACGCTGGCCGCTGGCTGGCTGACGGCCGCGCAGGGGCTGCTGGCCGCCTGCCTTGCCCACCTGCCGGTGCTGCTGGGCGCCGCGCTGGGGACCCCGCCGCACGCTGGCGTCCGCGACCACCTGCCCCAGGTCCGGCACGTGGCCGTCACCTCCTCGGACCTGCTGCCCTCCTTGGCCAAGCTGGCCCTGTTTCGCCTGGACCGCTTCTTCGCCGGCAGGGACGTGCTGTCCTCTCGCGTGCACGGCAAGCTGGAGTGCTTTGCCAGGCTGCGTGACCGCTTCCCGGGGAGCGCGGCCTTCGTGGCAATAGGGGACGGCAGGGAGGAGGAGGCGGCTGCTGCGGCGCTTGGCTGGCCCTTCATCAAGGTGTCCCTCGGCAGGTGCACGCTCGGCCGGGCGGAGAAGGGCGGGGTCCCCCTGACCAGCCTGACCGTCATGGAAATTGCAGGTGCCCTGGGCATCTGACTGGGTTTTCCGTATCCCAGGACAGTGTCAGGCACGCTCCCTGGATGTCGGGGTCCCCCTCTCAATCCTGCACCCCACCACTGCAGCCCATTTTTGGTCCAGTCATACCTCCCGTGACCTTACCCCTTGGTGCACTGCTTGTTTACACATTCTACGCAGCTCCATGTGACCCATATTTCTTCTCTCAGTCCGCAAGGGGCGCTGCCTGTGGCCTGGTTAGAGGCCGGAACGGCCCCACACCACCAGGGAGATGGAGAAGGTGAAGATGACGCATGTCGCCGCCCAGCCCACCTGGACCAGGATCGGTTCACCCTGCAGTGTGGAGGATGTGGAGGTATGGGGAGAGATCTCAAGACCCTAAGGCAGGCACTTGTACTAGTACAGAATGCTGCACAGCCTGGAGCACCCAGCGACTGTTACAAAAGCCTGCCGGCTTCCCTATTTCACTCACCTCTGCAAGCATCATGTGCTCCTGGGCTGCCAGTGCTGCAGGGGCTAGAAGCATAGCTGCTGATGCGATGGTCCCGGTGGCGGCAGCGACCACCTGACGGGGAGTGTGAAGAGGGTACTTGGGATGACGGGCAGGGCTAGCCTGCATTGACGGCATTGAGCGGCCAAAGCATGCGGGAGCGGAGCTTCATACGATTAAGCTTTTATAGGGTTTTGGTGTGCATTGGGGACTTCATGCCTCACTTTATGGTCTCGCATGGCCGCATGGGGGACAACCCTCCTGGCCCTGCATGGACCCCTGGGTGGCAGAAGGGACTTCTGCGGGAGGGGATACGCCGCGAGCTTGTGGGAGCAGGTTGCCAGTGACATGTCCGCTGCTGTGTTTCCAGGGCACGAACGTAAATGCGCGTCAGGGAGTGTGGCAGAGGCCCCGATCAACCGCCGGGGCGAATAGATAGCCTTTCGGGTGGCCTTTCCCACTTTCTCAATTGGCGTACCGGAGAACTTGGATGGTTTTCTGCGCTGTGAATGCAGCATTTGTATATATTCAGCACAGCATGCACGATTAAATCTGCTGGAGGTAATATTCAAGCATATACCTCGGCCTCAGAGATCTCGAATTGAGGTCCTGATCGAACCCCGATCGTCTGAGGGCAGAGGGTGGCGTCCCTGTCCGCGCTGCTCACGGCTTGTCGATCGCCAACAACTCCACGATGTCTGCGCCATATAGAATTAACATGGATAACGTTGCGGCTCGAGATCTCCTTAAGAAAGGGGCCACCATTCTCCTCCTGGACGTGCCTCCGGGAACAGCGGTGGGCATCGACCACCAGGTGCGCGGTAGGGATTCAATGACGCATCGTGGATAGCCCTCTCGATGCGCCATGGTGGGTTGCAGACAAGGTGACCTAGAATATGACCAAATTCGTAGGTCTTCCTGTCTGGCCCAGAGTTTAAAGGGGTGAAGATGCTGCCTCCAGGGCCCCACCTGGTGTCATACTGCGCAAAGGGCAGTCAGGGTGACTTTGGACCCGTCACCTGCTTCTTCATCCACCCCAGCGCGGGACAGGTGTGTGCAGAGGAGGTCACACTCGAACATGCCTCGAATGTTACTCCCACCTGCCGGAAGGGCTGCACTCCTGTTATACAAAGGTTCACGCTTGCCATTGCACAGAATACAATGGATGCGGAGGTCCCTGCGCCTCGAGTCCTACAGAACATAACCCAGCCCTGCATGAATCCCTGCTCCAGGTTGTCATCAAGCGCTGGGATCCGCAGCAGGAGTATCTTGTGGCTGTGGACGAGGAGTCTGAGGTAGGCTTGCCAGGAGAGTGGGGAGTGGGGGGGCCTTCCCAGGGAAACTGGGACTCCTGATGGCACCAGAGCACCACACTTGCAACAAAGGCATGCCTCATGGAGCGCAACTCTACCAGTGATCATTCCCATGGATCCCGAATGCCCCCTTTCCCATCCCTATACGACCCCCCCAGGTCATGCAATTCACCCAGGCGGTGCACATGTTTGAGTTTGATCGCCACCTGGCGCCCTACGACCTCGCCAACCTGGCGACCTGGCGCTCGCTCTCCGCCCACGTGACCCCCGCCGTCATCGACCGCCTCCAACCCGTGGGAGGGAACATCTGCGTGCTGGCGGAGGCGCCGCCGGGGTCGCGCGGGAGGCGCCAAACCCCAGCAGAAGCGGCCCTGGAGGCCCAGCTCAGCCGGCGCAAGGCCACCTCAAGCTCGCAGGGAGGCGGGGGGTCGGATGACAGTGCAGTGCCAGGCTCTCACCCCCAAGGTGCCCTCGTCGCGGCGCCGCACGCCGGCCGCTGCTTTTACACCCGCACTCAGACCGTCTCCAGAGACGGGGTTTATGATGCGGCTGCGCGCACACGGCACAACCTGGACCGGTCCGAGGGGCTGGACTCGCTGATTCGGGAAGAGTACGCAGGGGACGGCGACCTCCTGCTGGGTGAGCCGTTGGCGGGAGGAGGATGAGGGAAGAGGATGCCGTCAACCAGCGGACTTTTGGCGGATTCTTCACAGCAAGAGGGTCGCACGGACTGAGCGCTTCCTAGCTCGGCACCCAGCAGCCTTCTTCCATCCCCCGGCGAGTGGATGAGAGGCATCCCTCTCTCCCTGGGTCCCATTCACAGGCGAGCTGCAGTTTGCTTTCCTTGCCTTCCTGGTGGGCCAGAGCTTTGCGGGGCTCATGCAGTGGCGGGCGCTCCTCCAGCTCCTGCTCGGCTGCTTCTCTGCCGCCCTGGGGCAGCACCAGCAGCTCTTTGCCCAGGCTCTCGATGTGCTGGCAGCACAGCTGGCTGCCTCAAGCCAGAAGCAGGTGATAGTCAGGGATGTGCGAGGCGTACTTGACCCAGGGTAGCTGCTCACAGTTGTGATCCGGATCACAAGCCTGGCGGTATACCACTGTGACTGCCTGCCATGCATGTGATAAAGAAGGACAATCCGCACACATTGCATTTCCCTATTCAAAACAGGGGAGAGTGGGAGGTGCACAGGACGCAGGTTTTCTGGATGAATTGCTCCGGGACAGTTTCCTCAGCCACCAACTGCCTCAGGTGAGGGGAGCAGTTGGTGGTGGACTGGCCGTCCCAGCAATTAACGGTCTCCACCTTGCTTGCTCCTGCACATTCAGGTGGAATCTCGGACGGGTTAATCTTTTCAATTTTCACAACTGCTTCAACTCTTTTCCCTTGCACTTCACAGTGGACACGGGGCGTGCAGGAGGAGAGCGATGGAGCGGGGTTGACCCCCGCCCTGGCTGAGTCTGTAGCACGGGTGAATGAGGCTCTGCACGAGCTCGTGGGCTGGGAGGATTCATCACAGGTCCAGGAGCTGGGACTGGGGGACGATGAGGATAGCCCGGCAGTTGTGGACCTGGATGCACCTATGTTTTGAGTTTGAAAGTTGTGCTTGAATATGAGCGCTCCCCTGTCACATGTATTACTCTGAGCATTGTGGGAAGGGGGGGACCTGGTGCCGACTGTAAAAGAATGTTCGAACGAGCCCGGCTTCCAAGCAGATACCCAGAGGAGGATACGTGTGCCCCTGGCATTTAAGGATGCTTGCGCAGCATCTGATCACCGAGCAGACGAGTGCATAATACCACGACGAATTCCTCAATTCAGGCGATAACGAATCGTTGAGGGCGACATCGCACAGACGCAGTTCCGTTCCAGTATAATGAGTTCCGCTGTGCGGACCGCTGGGCCATCCCTGCTCCGCCTCTCGCAGATGGGCGCCGACATGCAATGCCTGCGTGCCTTTACGTTCATGCAGTTTAGAAAAATTCACAGCGTGCAGCCACATCGCGGCGAGCCTGAGGTATGTGGCGCGACGTGCATCGCTCTGTTACCCGGCACGGTCGCGCCAGCCCGATTGGGCATCGCAAACGAATAAGCCGTTCCCGTGCAGGCCGGATGCTCCATCGAGGAGATAAAAAAGGCGGCCAAGCGGACCGGAGACGCCGCAAAGGACTGGATCGCGGGCTCGAACAGCCATGCCAGCCAAGCCATGCGGGTAGCAAGTGAGAATGCTGAGCAGGTGTACGAGAGTGCCAAGCGCGCACTGGACGAGACCCAGACGATTGGCAAGGAGCGCACTGAAAAGTATGTAGCAGCAGGAAGGGATACCTGTTCCGTTGGGAGTGGTGATGTGATGCATTTTGCGTGGGAGCTTCCGGCCTACACCTCCTCTCCGGTTGATGTACCACAATCATCTCATCGTCTTGCACTTCTCCATTACATCTGCAGGGTGATGAGTCATCTTCATCATGGAGCCAAGACAAGCACCCACCGCCAGCTCCCGGACTCTGCCAAGGAGTCCATTGCACAGCATGCAAGCGAGACACCAGCCAACCAGAGTGCACGTCCCAATTGATCAGCTGGAGGCTGCGGAGCGTTGCGGGAAGCATTGTTTCGAATGTTAGAGATGGGGTGCGGTGTGTGGAGTGCAGAGTTAATATCCAATGACTGCTTGTGTGTGAAAGGGTTCTGAGGCGGCCAGTGGCTATATTTCCAGGAGTTGGCATTGCTGCCCCCCTAAGTCTCAGACACTCTGTCAGAAATGCATCCAATTTTCCATCCGGTCCCTGCAGTATCAAATATGGCACCGGATGTTCCACGGTCATCCAGCATGTGACACATCCTTGTCAGACCTAGCTGGGTCTCATTCTCAGACCAGGTTCGAACAGTACGCTCTTAAACCCCTGAAGCATCTCTGCAGACCAAGTCATTCTCACCTTTTTCATTACTGAGGATACAGGATCGTACAATGGGTTTGTGAAGGGCATGGTTTATACGCGCGCGGGAATTTCGGTCTGTTTGACTTTTCGCTCCGGACCTTGCCTCGCACGAGCCGCTCCTGCATGTCCCCGCGCAGCATTGAAATTGAAGGTGCGTATTGATTTGATCGCTCCTAAATCTGCTGACCAGTGATCGAGGACACATCCCAGCGCGCTTCCATCTCTGCCACCATGGACGCCGCGAACCTGGCCAAGGTCAAGGGCCAGATGCACAGCTTCGCGATGGGCGAGGCCATGGCTCAGGCCGCACAAGACTACCAGCAAGTGGGTCTGGGTGAGATGGGATTGTAGCTGGGGCACTGGCATCGATGAACGAACCTTGCTGATGTACCCGTCCTCATATCTGGAAACTACTGCAGCACATTCTGGCGAGTCAGCAAGCTGCCGCCGGCAAGGGCTTGCCGGCCTTCTACGCGGATGACATGCTGAACGATCCGGAGGTGGAGCGCCTGCAGGCCGAGCGCTTGGAGGAGCTGAAGATGCAGGCCGAGAGACGTGCAGCAAAGACTGCCCAGACCTCTTATGGTGAGGCAGACTGAAGGGATGCATTGTTGTGCCGGATGGGTTTGATGAGGGCAGATCCGAGGAATGCAATGCATAGCTGCTGTCCACAAAGAACACGTCTGTGTGCATGCAGTTTAATAGTATCCCCGTGTGCAGAATTGGCGCTTAGCTGCACGCATTGCAGCCTCTGCTCCTGCAAGCATTGTCCAGATCCCTCACCCAGACTCCTCCTCCCACATTCCTCCTCCCGTCCATGGCCAGGGTCCCTCGTGGAGATTGCAGAGCCAGAGTTCCTGGCCGCCGTGATGAAGGCGGAGCATGCCCTCTGCCACTTCTTCCATGCTGGGTTTCAGCGATGCGCCAGCATGGATCGCCACCTGGCGATCCTTGCACCTCGCTTTCCAGGGACCTCCTTTCTCAGACTGTCGGCACCGGTGCGTGGGTGTTCATGGGAAGGGGAGAGGGATAGGGCCAGCACAGGAGAACTCTGTGCTTGGCCGGCGCTCTAGCAAAATTGCTCGGGTGATAACTGCTGGCAACAGAGGTGAATGCCAATTTACTGATTGCTGCGGGCACAGGGTCCTCCATGTCCCAGGACACTCTCTGCAGGACAAAGCACAATCCAAGGCCTGCCTGCCCTCTTCTTTCTCCCTCTGTAGGATGCCCCCTTCTTCACAGAGAAGTTGAAGATTCGGACGCTCCCCTGCGTCATTGTCTTCCACCGCGGCGTCGCTGTGGATAGGATCGTTGGATTCGAGGGTATCCGCGGGGCAGGCGCGGACTTCAAAACTGCAGCGGTGTGTTAATTGGGCCTCTGTATGGTGTATGGACTGGTATACTCAATTCACCACAGCCTTGTGACAGTCTGACCTGTGCACTTACTGGCTGCAAAGGTCGTGCAGTGTTTGGGAACATTCTCCTGCAGGATGCATTGACACCACCCTCGGCAAAAGTGATACCCATCCACAACCACTCCTCTTGCACAAATTGAGTGCAGTTGGAGGAGCGGCTACAAGAGTCTGGCGTTCTGGTGGGCGTCAATCCATGCAGCGACTCTGAAGCGGAAGCTGAGGCTGTGGACAGACGGACAGTGCGACATGGGGTCAGCATGGGGCTGCACAAATCTGCCTCTGACGAAGACTCAGACTTCTCAGACTAAAACGGCTCGAATATCTCCTCTCCTCTGAAACTACTTTAATTTCAAAGGTTGAACTGTAGTTCACAGCATGGGGCAAGTGCGGTGTGTGGGAGAGGCGGGCCACGGCTATGTGTGACACGAGATCGTGTTATTTGCGTCGGCCAGGACCAGGAGCTGTTGCACTGGGCGTCGCGAGCAGGATAGACTGTCCCTGTCCTCAATTGTGAGCGGATGTCAACAAAGCCATAGGCAGTGCACAATTCTCCCATGTCCCAAGGCTCCTCAGAAGCCATTTTGCCCTTCCAGGGGCACCACTCGCCGCTGGCGATTCAGTCCAGCATGCGGCTGGAGGGCAGCATCCAAATTCCCATTGTCCCTGTTGGCATACATGGAGAGTGTGCATGTGTAAGTGAATCCCTGATGCACAGGATTCACCAAGCCGTACGGCCTTGAGGACATCAGCCGTATCGTGCAGCAAAATGACCCCTCCTTGGGATTTGGCGGCTCAGTATGTTCACCTCAAGGCCAACTCAGCTCGAGGTCTCTGTCTGCACCACCATCACCCAATCCCCATCTTCGCTAAGGCACACACTTGTTGCAACCCGCACATCCACAATCCAGAGAGCCTTCCTTGCCAACACCCGCAGATCTCACTCACCAATACTCAGCGGGCGAAGGGAGGTTCAGGTACCAGTCTATCGTCTTCCTCAGACCCTGCTCCCACGACGTGCTCTCCTCCCAACCCAGTGCCGCCAGCTTGTCATTGTTGATGAAGTACCGCCTGCAGATGGGATGGCATCGGGTGACCGATCCTGGAGGTCAAGTCGCACAAGAGTATGATATCAGCAGGAGGATCAACGAATGCAAAGGAGTTGCCCACGACACAGCCTCGTCGCCGTAATTGCTTTCATAGGTCAGGCTTCCCTCTTTCCCCTTCCACCACCCGAATTACACCACCTTTGCAGCTCACCTATCATTGAAGGCTCGGTCGCGCACATGCTCGAGCAGCGGCGCCTGCCTGCCAAAGGCGGCGCCGATGTCGTGAGCCACCTCCAGCACCGAGCGCTCCCGCACGCTGCCGATGTTGTACACCTCCCCCACCAGCCCACAGTGCAGGACGGCGTCGTAGGCCGCGGCCACGTCAGCAATGTACAGATAAGAGCGTACGGCCTCGCCCGCCCCGTACACGGTGAGGGGCCGGTCGCTGGCCGCCAGGAGGATGAATTTGGGGACTGTGGGCGGGATGGGGTGAAGGGTCAGTGGATATCAAGGAGTGCAGGACAGGCCCTTCCTGATTGAGATCACAAAAACTTGATACTCGATACAGCCGTAGGTTGGACAAGAACATCCCAACAGACAAGCCAGCTGCACAGCATGAGCCACCTCCAAGGCTGCTCCCACAGTCACACTCACTGAGCTTCTCTGGGAACTGGCCCGGACCGTAGACATTGTTGCCACGGGTGATGATGACGGGGAGCTGATAGGAGGTGTAGTATGCCAGGGCCATGATCTCTGCCCCCGCCTGGAAGGGAGGAGTGCAGTAGAGGTGAGCGCAGGTCTGCTCCATACAAGGGCATGGGAACGGATACAGGGACGGGCATGCAGCTGTCCTCAACCTGTGCCCTGCTAGTGCTGTGCGGCAGACAGGAGAGGCCGGACTTAATTGATAACATCAGATTTCACAGCCACATGCCTCAAGAGTCTCCTTCCCCTCCTGCGTGCCTTGGCTGCCGCATACGGATTGGTGGGCTCCAGCCGGCTCTTCTCGACCAGGCCGGCCGCCAGGCCAAAGGAGGTCTCCCCATACACCTCATCTGTGGATACGTTGATGAAGCGATGGACTTGCCCGTACCGCCGAGCAGCCTCCAGCAGGACATGGGTGCCGTACCTGCGACGGAAGAAGATGAGAGGAGTGACGGAAAGAGTGGCTGATGCGGAGATGCCCCCCCACAAGTGGCATCGACTCGAGCCAGTTCAACTTGTCGGGGCCCCGCTCATTGTGTGCCATCTGGGAGTAAATGGCCGACTACCATGACCATGCCATCACCAAGCCTCTCGTCCCCTACATGTTGTTGATGGTGAAGCTGACGCTGTTCCCAAACGAGTGGTCCACATGTGTCTGGGCGGCAAAGTGCATGACGGTGTCGATTTTCTCAGTTTCCATCACGTAATACAGCAGGTCCCCGCTCTTGATGTCCCCTTTGATGAACTGCACGGTATGTTGTGTTGATTGGTTGGGTGGGGATGCCGGTGTAGGCGGGATGGTACGTGGCTCCGGCGTGCCCTTCAAGGCTCATGACATAGTCATAAGCCCTGCCAGGTGACACATGTGAGACCCATTGCGACCCAGACAGGCGATCACTGGTAGCACCACCCTACCTTAAAGTTGGGGGCATCCTTGACGGCTTGGAGGTTGTGCAGGGTGGCGCAGTAGTCCAGGCAGTCAAAGACCACCACCTGGAGTGATGGCCAGGAAGGCGCTTGCATGTGCCCAGTGGCCTGACCAGCACGTGATGTGCCCTCCCCTGCCCAAGCACTGGGGTATTGCATATGGTAAATTCAGGGGCAGCCCAAACTTGAGTTTGGCTCATCAATTCAATCACTCACCCTGTACTGGGGGTAGCGCTGCACCAGGCGGACGACGACATGGCTGCCTATGAAACCTGCTCCCCCCGTCACCAATATGTTCCGAGGAGTGTAAGGCTTCTCCTCCCCCATGTTGCTACCTCGTCATGCTCTGTGAGAACAGTGACAGAGGTCAGGGAGGCGTTTGCAAGCGTCCGTTCGTGCAGCTCCCACAAAGCCCGAGGCTTCTGGCAAGGCTGAGCGACTCTGCCCGGTGGGTCCCCTCTTCCTCGCCTTCAATAATTGGGGCTGGCTGGGACTCTACGTACGATATAATGCACATACAAATCCTTACAGGTGGGTGCGTGTTCGGTGTGACGCGTTCGAGGGTGCGCCCAGCGTCGAGTCGCAACCACCTGCACGGCACCGTCGAAAAAGAAAAATGCGCCCCAGGGTACGTCATTCATGACCGCAGGTAGCAACCCCAGAGGCCCCCATCGTCGACCCTCTTCAATGCATGCGACATCCTTAACACACGAAGCTAATGAATATGGTGGTTCATACTGTTCTTTTGCCCGTACAGGGTCCATCTGGAAATTGAAAGGGACCGTGTCGCTGGAGTCAAGCCATTATCGAAGTATGGTCAAGAGCGATCCACAGGGGGGAGACCAAAGCTCCTCGTATTCGGCATTGGCAATGAACATTCTCATCCAAGACCCCTTGAGGTTTGTGTCTCTGCGAGAGCTGCTCCCTCCCATGATGAATATCATCGATGGCGGGAAGGGGCGAGAGCGTGACGCACTGTGGCAGAGGCCTCCCTCCCCGGGCCTCAGCAAGACCAAGACAATCGACACTTGTCATTCCAGATCCATCTTTCAGACAATTTGTGGTTGATCATCAACGTAAGTCGCTGTCGCGATTGTCCGCCCGAGAAGGAGCCACAGGAGGCGGTGAAGCGGCTGCGCCACCTGACCCTGAGATCATAGCGCGATGGTGTTCAACGTCGCGTCGGAGAAGGAGCTCCAGCACATCCTGAGGGCGCATCCGCAGGTGTGCTGAGAAGTGCAAGCAACCCGTGCAATTACCTGCGCCGCTGAGCGCGCGAGGCTCCCACCCCCCCTTCATAGCTCAATCCCCATTTCCATCCCACCACAGACCGTGGTCCACTTCTGGGCCCGGTGGTGTGAGCCATGTGCTTTCCTGGACACCGTCCTGGAAGCCATCGTCTCCGACGCCCCCTCCCTCGCCGTGGTCCGTGTTGAGGCAGAGGAGTTGCCCGAGCTGTCTGAGCGCTACGACGTCTCCGTGGTGCCCTACTTTGCCTTCTTCAAGGATGGCCAGCTGGTGGACACCCTGGAGGGCGCCTCCGCCGCCGACCTCTCCTCCAAGGCCCTGGCCCTGGGTGCCAGGGCGTCGATGCCTAGCAACGGCACCCCCGCCACCGATGCCGCAGTCGCAGCCATTGCCCCAGGTGCGCATGCGTGTGGGGGGGTGTGGAACCCCGCCTCGGTCGACACATCGAGATGCCTTGAGGGATGGTGCGCGATTCTCCTTGCACCGGGGGCACCGGGATGCCTCACATGAGGGTACCTCGAAAGTCCTGCAGTGTGGTACTTCCCAAGCCACATGCCCCCCACTCCCCCCCCCCCGCCACACGCTCACATTGGCAGTGACAAAAGCAGCGCCTGCCGTGGCAGGCGACGAGCGCCTGCGGGTCCTGGTCCAGCGCAGCCCCATCATGCTCTTCATGAAGGGCTCCCCCGACGCCCCCCAGTGCGGCTTCTCCGCCAAGGTCGTGGCAGCATTGCGCGCCGTGGGAGCGGACTTCGACTCCTTTGACATCCTGGGCGACGCTGGGGTGCGCCAAGGCCTCAAGGCCTACTCCAACTGGCCCACCTTCCCGCAGCTCTACGTGGCGGGGGAGCTCCTGGGCGGCTGCGACATTGTCCTCGAGCTGGCCGCCAGCGGCGAGCTGGCCGCTGAGCTGGCGGCTGCGGGCGCGCCAGGGGACGCGGACCGCACCGCGCAGCTCACGGCGCTAGTCAACTCCTCCCCCATCATGCTCGTCATGAAGGGTGAGCAGAGGGGGAGATGGGTGATGAGAGGAGCATGGGGAGGCAGGACTCCCTGCCCGCACGGGCATGCCCCCGGCCCAAAGCTGCCCCTGAATCAAGTACCGCGCCCGCGTCGTGGATGATGAGTTGCGTTTTCCACCTCCTGAGCGCCCGGGTCCAGTGCGACTCCCCAGCTCTGATGAGATTCCTAGGCAACACGTCATCCTTGCTCTGACACGCGTCGGACGGCGGTCTTCGTGCGATGAATGATGGCGGCTGCGGCACTGTGCCCAGGCGCCTGATTATTGTCTCTTCCTTGTCATGCGCTCTCCTCCCGGTGACCCCGCGGTCCCTCCATACAGTACTCCGCTTCCGCATCTATGCCACAGCTGCTCTCCATGCACATCCCCTCCCGCCCGCAGGCACGCCGGAGGAGCCACGCTGTGGGTTCAGCCGCAAGGTCGTGGACGCACTGAGGAGCACCGGGACGGCGTTCGGGACCTTTGACATTCTGTCCGACCAGGACGTTCGAGCACGTCTCAAGGTACTGGAGCTTGGACGTACTGTTTGCACATCCGTCCGCTGAGCGCGCCTGACTGCTTGCTTAGGCTCTTATGCCCTCGCCAAAGGCACAAGTTGCAGCAAGCGTGTATTCCCCCATGAGTGCAGGAGTACTCCAACTGGCCGACATACCCCCAGCTATATGTCAAGGGACAGCTACTGGGAGGCTGCGACATCGTGCTCGAGATGGCTGCAGATGGCAGCCTCAAGGAAACCATTACGGAGATGCTGGCGTGATTTATGATGTTGTAATTCTGCATTTAGGGCTTGACTATCATCACCATTGTATTGTCTGTCCTGTACCTGTATGTTTGCTCACCATAGTATGTAATGTTCTTCTTGTGTTGTGTGTGTTGGGTGCGTGTGTGTGTTGGGTGCGTGTGTGTGTGTTGGGTGCCGTGTGTGTGTTGGGTGCGTGTGTGTGTGTTGGGTGCGTGTGTGTGTTGGGTGCGTGTGTGTGTGTTGGGTGCGTGTGTGTGTTGGGTGCGTGTGTGTGTTGGAGGGGGGTGTAAGGCTGCACCACCAAGGCGGGAGTGAAAGGCCTAGGCGATGCCTGTGAAGCCGACCTAGTAAACTAGGCTGATGGCGACACGCCAAGAAAAATATATCTAACAATTGTCTTGTCCAATGGACAAGATACTAGCTGTTAGACTAGTAAGAACAGATACTACACTTGATCTTAGCCAAAAGGCCGAGAAAGGTATGATGTGGGAGGCCTCCAAAAAGAATATGAGTGAGAGCCAGGCATCGCGATGATCCCGACGATTATGGGTCAATCTCACGTCCTTCCGCAATTTTGGCGTTACAAGCCGTAGATACAGATCTTCCTACATCACGTACTCATTTGCGTTTCTTTCATAAAAGCAGACATATTATTACTCTACATCACGAGTGGCGTCAGTGTGCAATGCCGGCTTTTCGCCGACGACGTCAAGAGCTCGAAGTGTGCGTGCGAGGCAAGCCTGCACCTCTTTCCAGACCAGGTTCCGCACGCTGGAATGCTCATCCCGAAGAATGGCATTCGCGTCCCCCGCCTCCCTGCCTCGCAGCACCTTTGATGCGCATCGAGCCACAATTCCTTCCTGGACGGCCTCCGTCAGTGACCAGCCATAGCCGGCAAGGGAGGCCAGCTGCGTCGCCATGGCCCGTCCAAGCAACTCCCTGGCGACCTGCTCGGGGATCACGGGCAGGGCTTCTACCCCCGCTTCGCCCAGCACCGTGTGCGGAGTCAAGGAAGGGGCAGGCAAGGGGCTTGCCGCTGCAGCTCCAGGCAGCTCGTCGACGGCCTGCCCTGCATCCCCTTCCTCCTCCTCGGGCCTTGCAGCATCCCAGTCTAGGTCAGCCTCCTGCAGCCGGCGTGGCCTCTTCGTCCCTGGCCTGGGCCTGGGCAGGCTGGGCTCCCTCACGGGCTCAAGCGCCGGCCGTGTTGCCAGGGCGGGGTCCCAGTCGAGGGCGGTCAGCTGGGCGGCCTTGTTCTGATACACCCCCACCCCCATGCAGCGCCGAAAGAGCTCCGCCTCCTGATCCATGGCGAATGCAAAGGCCCGCGCCCTGCGCCGAGGCATGGGATGCACGTGTTGGGTCTCCTGGGTTAAGCTCATCCTGTTCAGAAGGACAACAGAGGTTGCAGCATGCACATCATGACACCACACCACTCGCTGGCTGCACCTGAGCCCCTCGAGGCCAGCGGCTGCGGCAGGCTCCAGTTGGCCTTGCCACATGGCAGCCAGGGCGAGGTGTTGCCCTGCCAGCTTGGTCACCACGGTTTGCCTTTTGAGTTGCGACGGCATGGGCGGGGAAGTGAGTCCCAGGGTCAGAGTCTCATTGTCGGACGCAAAGCATGGTCGACTCTGTATTTCCTCACCTCGCTGCGCGTGGGAGTTTGGAGCGGGGGACATAGGTGACCAGGGGCCGCAGGCGGGGATCCACTGCCTCCAGGAACTCTGCCGCCCGCGCCAGGCACTCCCACTCCTGCTGTCGGGGATCTGCTGTGCATCGGGTAGGGGACCATTTGCAGTACAATGGGCGCCGTGCTTGCGCCAAGAGATGGTGATTGCAGTGGAGCAGATGCATGGAGCTTTGGGAAACCTGGTGGCCAGTGTTCAACACACGACCAACACCAAGGAAACAATCCACCATCCCAACGACCTCGGACCCACCATCAAGCTGGGGGGGCACGGGTGGCTCCTCTTCCTCATCTACCTCCGCGGCTGCTTGCAGTATGATGGCCTTGGCATTGACGCCAAAGCGTGGGGCAGCGGCGCATGCCTGTAGGAGCTCGTCCGCCGGCATGGGCCCAGGCGGCAGTCGCCTACAGCGTGGGCGTTAGCGCCCGGCGCATGCTGCCGGGGAGCCGCATCCAGTCTCGATGGTTCTCATTGCCTTGGGAGAAGTCTGGACGGGCATGGACGATCGTGCAGCGAGGTCCACGCCCCCTCGCACGCGACGCACGGCATGCAGATCTCCAAGCATCGGAGGGTTGTTTTCCTCCCATGCGCCTTGGCTCGAGAAGCTGACACCACAGTGTGCACCAGGCCACTGGAGCTCCTTTGCGGTGCATCATGGGAAGGAAGCACTGGTATGTTCTCCGATAGCAAGGCACAACCGTGGGCGTCTGCCTGAATTCATCATGCAGTTCATCACACACATGTGACTCCTGCCCGTGCCCACCGCCTCCCGCCCCGCTCAGGCGGCCTGCGCCAGCCGTCGCAGCAGGGCCAGGGTGGCCTCGTAAAAGGGCGCCACCGTGGCGACCTCCACCCTCTCGTCGGGACTGTGGGCCCCGCGGATGGTGGGGCCATAGGACACGCTCTGCACGCCGGGCAACTTCTGCCCGATGATGCCACACTCCAGCCCCGCGTGGATGGCCTTGACGGCGGGGGCCTTGCCCGTCACCCCCTGGATGGCCGCCGCCGCGGCATGCACCACCGGCGCGTCCGGTTCGGGCACCCAGCCGGGGTAGGCGGCGTCCTGTTTGTGCGTCGGTGGGTGGGTGGGGTCCCACTCTGGTCTGTCGCCGAAGGCGAGGACCCTGGTTCTTCCCACGTCCGAGATCCAGAGGCCCTGGCGGGCGGACCCTCCCCTCCTGTGCATCATCCTGGAGGCCTCCAGGGATCAAGGGACCCCCCCCTCTGACACCCCTCTTCCCCCTAGCACCCCCCTCACCCCACCTGGTGAACAGTCGCCCCCGCCGCCCTGCCCAGCCGCGCGATGCCCTGCCGGACGTCCTCCAGCGCCCTGTCCAGGCTACTGCGGGTGCAGGTCACCAGCTCCACGGTCAGCGACTCGGGCGTGCGCCGCTTGATCGTGGCCGACGCCAGGTTGCTGCTCGTCTCCACCAAGCCTGGATGGTTTTGTTGGTGGGTTTATTCAAGGGGAGTGATGTAGGGAGTGGGCTTGAGCGAGCTGAAAAGGGTACATAGCGGAAGGTGTCCTGAGCTTCGTGGTGCATATGGGGCTGCTCTCAGTCGCACACCAGGCCGTGGACAAGGGCCGACTCCTGTCGTGCATTCGACGCTCCGGGCTCTCAGTCTCCCAGAGCCCACCCCAACCCCCGGCCCCTCCTTGCCTCCCACCAACACCCCCCTCCCACCCGGCACGGTGTGGCTGTGCTTGATGACGCCGTGCGGCAGCATGAGGAGGAGGAGGAGCAGGCGGTCGGCGGCGGCTGGGGTCAGCCCCGCACGCCGTGCCTCGGACCCCACCTCCTCCTCGGTCAGGGCCAGCCCCATCTCCAGCGCGCCATACTCGAGGCGGAAGGCGTCGGCCGCGGCGCGCACCGCAGCCGTGGCGGCCTCCAGCGCCCCGGCGTCCGGCGCGGCCAGCTGGAACCCGGCCTCGCGCGGGATGGCATTGCGCTTGTCGCCGCCGGACAGCGCCAGCAGGCGCACGCCCGGCGCGGCCGCCAGCCCCGCCGCAGTGGCGCGCGCGGCCAGGCGCAGCGCGTTGGCCCGGTCCTCGCCGATCTCCAGGCCTGAGTGCCCGCCCAGCATGCCACCCAGGCGGAAGCCGCGCGCCCCCCAGCCGCCCGCCGCGCCCGCCAGCGGCTCCAGGGGCAGGTCCAGGGTCAGGGCGCTGTCGCCCCCGCCCGCACAGCCGATGAAGATGTCGCCCCAGTCCTCGGTGTCCAGGTTGAGCATGACGCGCCCCGTCAGCAGACCGGGGTCCAGGCGCAGCGCGCCCGTCATGCCCACCTCCTCGTCCACGGTGAACAGGGCCTCCAAGGGGGGCAGCGGCATGGAGGGCGGGGAGTCCAGCACCGCCAGCGCGGCGCACACGCCGATGCCTGCGAGGGCGCGGCGGGGGGAGGAGGACGAGGGGGGTGATGGATGGATGGATGTGGAGGAAGCTTGAATAGGAAACCCCCGCTTTTCAAAGTCAGCCCCTGCATCATGCTCGGGGGCAGCCCCACGGTACCTCAGCAGGGGTCAAGCACCCGCGCCCCTTTCCCCCTCCTTCCCTCACCGTTGTCGGCGCCCAGGGTCGTGCCGTCGGCCGTGACCCAGCCGTCGCGGCGGACGAGGCGGATGCCGTCGGCCTCGAAATCATGCTGCACGTCCGCGTTCTTCTCTGTGACCATGTCGATGTGGCCCTGGATGATGACAGTGGGCGCCGCCTCGCCGCCGCCGCCGCCGGGCCGGCGCATGACCAGGTTGCCCGCCGCGTCCTGGGACCAGGCGAGGCCGCGCTCCTCGGCAAAGAGCTTGAGCCAGTCCAGCACCCTGGGGCAATTTGGCAGGGTCCGAGGAGGGGTGGGACAGCGGTAATGTGAGATGCACATACACAGATAAAATAGGCATGCGTGATAGAGGAATTGGGAGTCAGTCCGCAGTGGTGCTCCCATTGATCAGCGCACTTTTGCTCCTTGTAGCTGGGACGCGGGATGGAGGAGAGCTCCCCGAAGAAGCGCCACAGGGGGGCAGGCTGCAGGCCCTGCAGTGCCTCAGGGAGCTCCTTGCTCACCGCAAATACGGTCATGGTGCGACAGTGCCGGAAATCGCGAGGCTGTGGCCAGGATCGGGTCTGTGCGAGCCGAAGGCTCAGACCACTGACTCGACAGGGGCTTCTCCAGATGCGGCACGCTAGGGCAGCGGACATGCGTGATTGAATCCTGCCGGACCCATCAAGTCCCAGGAGCCCGAGATGAAGAGGTGATGCCAGCTGGGCTGCATGTTCAAGGGGCAAAGGTGTGTAAGAGAGGGCGCGAGATTTGGAACTGCTCGAAAACCAATGCCCGCCCCTGTCAGCGCTTCTCACGTTTGACTAGCATCGACAAGGTCTTGGCAGACAGCAAATATTCAAGCTGTCACTGATCCCCTCTGGATACACTCAAGGATGTGTTTGCGCATGCAATGAGCAGTCCTTCACATCGATGCATTCGCATTGCCATATGGGCATAGCAGAGCCAGGACAGTCTTCAGATGCCTTCTGCGTGCAGCCCGCGTCACCTGCTCCCAAGATGGCGCTGCCTCAATCGCCCGAGATCTACATCCTGTCACTTCCTGCAGCGTTGAATCAAGATCAATTCCTGAGCATGTCTCGAGGTGAAATTCATTGCACAAGCAAGTACCAACATGAAAACTGCGAGGCCTGCCAACAGGGACTCCTTCCTTTCTCAATCCTTGCCACCCAACACTTGCCTCTTTGATGAACGCTTGCCAGCGCCCTTCTTAGGAGGTGCCTTGCCCCGCCTTCGTAGGCGATCCAGCTTGAGCTTCGCCCTGTGGAGAGGGGCGCGCTAGGAGTGGTAATGCACCAAAATTGATGCTAAAATACTGCCGCAGAAGAACACACGTCAGAGATAACCCTCAGCATTAACATGTAATATGAATGCCTAGAAACTGAAAAGTTTGGTGCCCTCCCCACGACTCTCACCTCTCTGCCTGGATGTTCAGCATGTACGGGTCGGCCCGGAGGACATTCTCTGGATAGTAGGATGCCAGCTTCTCGCCCACCAGCTTCTGTTTCAGAATCTTGCGGCCTGAGGGTAGACCATTCCCTGCGGTGACCAGGAAGAGTGTAATGGTATTCAGCTTGAGAGTAACAATTCACTCAGGACTGTATGCAAGAACAAAACAGCTCAGGTCTCCTCTGCATGACCTATATAGCCTCGTCAGCCCCTAAAACCCACACCACATGCTCACCGATGTGAGAACCGAATATGCGTGCCTCAATTTCCCGAATTTCTTCATCAGAATAGGATGCCTGAGCAGCGAACCCCCTGGTCAGGCCTGGCAAGCTGCGACCGCTGCTGGTGGACAACCCCGCGCAGCTCTGGAGCGCTGGCACCTGCCGCGCCGCGTGCAGGCACGAAGTTGTGGCGCTGCTGTGGATGGACCTCCTGAGTAGGGCGCTACCGACGGTCCAGGCCTCCTGGGCCAGTGCTCGCAGCGCCATTCTGCGCGGCCACCAGCCGGTCCCACCGGCGTCCAAATGTAATCCACTTCCTCCCCGAGCTTGAGTTGTAATTAGTCAATATCTCATCTATGGGCGATTACTACTGCATCGCTACCGAGCCAGATATCTTGCTGCGTCCCTGCGTCCGAAGGCGGGGGTACGGGCTTCCCTCTCCGTGGCTGGGCGCGACAAATGATGGATCTTCACATCCTTGCCGAGGCGACACACCAGCCAGCGCAAACACAAGAATGATATGAAGCTCTTGAGCATCTTGTAATCTGCTGGTTCAGCAAGAAATCCCCAAGACTCCCTGGAGAGCCAGTCGACATGGCCACTCACTCGAGAGTTGTCGCCGGTGCCTTCGGGTCCGGCTCCACCCCACCACGTACGCCACATCAGAGTGTCCTTCCATATGAACTCCACAGAGTGTCACAGGCGCGATGTGGGGTGGCGCGATCCCTGCTGCAGCGACCTCGCCCGTCTCGGACGAGGGCTGGACCAAGCTCTTCCATCCAGCCTCTCACGCTCGCCATGGTGAACGTTGACGTAAGCCCTGCCGTCATTTTGGGAGTAGGCCTGATAGGCAGCGGACTCACACTGTGGCAGATCAGGCAGGCTAAGCCTTGGATCAGCAAGGACTATGATGTCGTCATCTCGTGTGTTGCACTCCTGGTCGGGGGTATCCTGATCTTCCAGGTGAGACGTGAGATTGAATGGGGTCTCTTTGTCTAACAAGAGACCGGGAGGCATCAGAGTGTGAGCCGCACTGGTTGCAGAGGCAGACCCCTGTGGAATCGGCCGGCCGTGCTCCACCTTCTTGACATCATCCCAGCGCACACCCTAACCCCCCCACCCCCAGGGCTGGCGATTGGACCCCCTCCTCCTCTTCGGACAGCTCATGACGACCGGGGCTGCGTTGAGTTTCGGCGTGGAGGCCCTGCGACTGCGCTCTGCTGTGTATGAGAAAGAGGTGCGGGGAACTTGAGCAGGGGCTGTGTCGGCATGTGCAGTGCTCTTGGCCCTTGAATTGTGTTCATAGGGGAACGAGGCACAGCAGTCATTTAACGCGCTGTGTCAGATGTGCATCAACCAACACTTCTTGTTATCATGGCAGGAGGCGGCGGAGATGAGCGACATGTATGACCGGAGGAATGCTGGTCCAAGGCAGGCGGTGCCCCTTGCTCGGCTGCCACCCCCGGAGCCGTCCAGGCCGTTCTGGGAGGGCGAGGCCCCCCGTAGGTACGGCGATGAGCCAGAGGCGCAGCAGGAGGTCGGAAGCCAAGGAGAGGGGTATTACAGCCCTGGCGAATGGTACTATGGCAAGCAGGACGTCAATGCTGACACCCCGTCGTGGGAGGAGCGGCAGCAGCAGCAGCCCCGGGAAACCCCCACGCGCCAGCCCACACCCCGAGGGATATTTGATTCGGCGGATGACTGGTGACCTGCGTTTCATGATGTTCATAAAGCGCCCTCTGTGTACCCTTGAGCCATTGCTCATCCAACCAACTGTACATTCAGCATCGTGTATGCCAGCCTCTGGCTATGCTGACAGGGTTTTAACATGGCTTCTGAGCGGAGCGGGGCCTGACCACCGGCCGAGGGGTGCAGGGATTTGTCATGGTACAGTCTGGCCGGGCGGTGCGCGGGAAGAGGGAGGTGGGGATGAGGAATGTGGTGTCAAAACTCTCAGCACAGAGTGGGATGGGAGGAGAACACAAGGGGGCAACGTCGTGCCGTCTTCACGGGGTCTGTCAATGACGAGTGCAGGCGGGGACGGGGGCCTCAGAAGCTCGCCGTCGACGGCACGGGAAGGAGGTACTGCTGGATGGTCAGGTGGTCAAAAATGCGGAGTGCCAGCTCCTCGGGAGAGTACATGCGATGCTCTGCGGGGAGAGGGGGGGCCGCAAGTGGGCGTGAGTGAAACGAATGGTCTGGGATTGAACATTGAGCAGTAATTGTGATCCAATGGGAACCAACTGCCATGGACATCTTGCAGTACCTAGTAAAATCACAGGCCCTACCTTCATCGTAGGGATCTAGGACGATTTCTGCCCCGGTGGGTTCCTCGTAAGGGTCATTGATCCCTGCATTTGGAGGCCAGCATGCTATTGTCAGAATGGTCCCTTTGTCCGTGCACATGCCACTTATCAACCTGGGATCTCAGCAGCCTTGGGTGTTGGTATGTATGTAGGCAATGCATCGGTCCCTGCTGGGACATGGCCACTCAGGCTGCAGCCAGTGGGTGCCTGCTAACCGCAAGTTCTCACCACCACCTCAGCATGATAACTCACCCGTGAAGTTGGAGATCTTCCCCGCTCGCGCCTTCTTATAGAGGCCCTTGGGATCTCGCTGCTCACACAACGCCAGCGGGACCCGGAGATAGATCTCCAGGAAATCACCTGTAGGATGGAAGCATGACTGCATCAGATTGGGATGTGGGTACTCTTGTGTCGCAAAGCAACCAAAAAGGCATTCGCACCTCTGGCAGGCGCATGCCCAGGCTCTCATGAGTACCGCCCCTCCCATCATCACGGCACTCGACAATCCCACAGATCTTCCTCTCACCAGGAGCCATGCGTGCTCTCACAGCATCTCGATCAGCTCGGTAGGGGGAGATGAAGGAGGTGATGGTCAGGATGCCAGACTCGGCAGCAAGCTTGGCCACCTCTCCAACTCGCCGAATGTTCTCAGCCCGATCCTCGGCACTGTGGGAAGGATGAAGGGCGCGACGCTGGTGCCATAGTGTTCCCATACCTGATCAATTGCACATGATGATAATAAAAATAGGATCGACGGCGCCTCGTAACCAATACCAGCTCCGCTTCAGGGTTGCCTTTGTCCTTCCCTGATGGACCCTCAGCACCCTCACTCTGCTACAGCCCTCACAGTCCTGAGGTCTGAGACACACCTAGCCACAGTTGGCATGGCCAACAGGCCACTGGGGCCACGACATATGATCCCACCATTCCCCCACAACACCCTTGTTGTTTGGATTCCCGAAAATCCAGCCACCCTGAAGGAACACCCACTCCTCACCTGAATCCAAGGTTGGAGTTGAGTCCATGACGCACGTTATCGCCATCCAGTAGCATCGTGTAGTGACCATTTTGGTGCAGGATGGACTCGAGAGTGGCGGCCACCGTGCTCTTGCCACTTGCGCTGAGCCCTGGGAGCCGTGGGAGGGGGGAGATCAAACCATCTCCTAAAGCCACCCCAGATGCACCGGAAAAAGATCAGGGCTTCCTGTGGACCCCAACCCCCGCCACTGCTCTCCTCTCACCTGTGAACCAAAGCACACATCCCCGTTGGCACAGCATGCGCTCCTTGTCGGCGCGTTGCACCGTGGCCTGGTGCCAGCGAACATTGGTGGAGCGGCCGACGTCTCGTGTGCGGAGCGGAGGTGCAGCCACGGCTTGTGGGCGCACCTGCCCTCTCGTTGGAGGCCGGCGTGCGTCTACATGGGGCCCAGCGACGGGCTTGACATGGGCAGGCATGGCCGCATGGGCCTGACTGTGAGTATTCATCCTAGGCGGGTAGGGCCGGGGGCTATGAGGGCAACTGCCGGGTTGTCAACACATCACAAACTCAGACTGCTACACGAAATAGGGATATGGTGGCGAGATCTAGGGCACTCGACTTCCCACTGGAAGCTGCACATCCCGATGTCGGAGTTTGAGACCTCGAGAATGAGAATCGGGGGGCAGCGCGGGCACGACCAAGATTTTGATACGTGGCCATTCGCGAGCGCGACGGACAAGAAGGTGGTGAAGAAGTCTGGATTAAGCAGGAATCACTTTCGAATTCTGTGTGCAGCTCTCGGATCCACTCAGACACAGCCTAGAGCAGGGAGGCGAGCTCAACCGTGCGCCATCGATACCAAAAGGAGTGCTGGACTCCGCTGTTGCGCTCACCGTCCCGACAGCCGTGCGGAGGTACGGGAGATGGAGCTTTCCTACTTCGATCCACCAAGTTCCCGGGGCGCGGGAACCTGTCCGATGCGCTCTGTTTATGCGGCCCGAAGTGACACAGGCTGCAGCACCCCGAAAGCTACCCCAACTTCCTCACCAGGGGCGCGCCAGGGACTGGCGAGGCGAGATCTCTGGTCCTGTGATCGGGGAGCATGGGGCTAGATGAGGAGGCGGCACAGCTGAGCAAAGGGGGTGGCGCCTTCATCTTGGAGTGGTTCACCAGCATCTTCTATGGTGACAGCCAGAGCGCGCACGCCACCAACAAAATACTGCAAGAGGTGGGCTGGCGGGTTGATGCACTCTGTCGAACAATGCTTGCAGGGTCTGAGGCAGCCAAGCTCGCGCCTGCGGCTGTGGCCAGGCATTGCAAGCGGGGTGCCTGAGATCCCGAAATCAAACAGGGCATTCACACTGGACTTGCCCTCCCCAGCCGCCTCTGCTCCCGGCCCCTGCCCTGCAACCCTCAGACACTGCACCCCGCAGCTGCTGGTCTTCTACGTACTCGTGGCTGTCGGTTTTGGGGCGCTGATCCTCATGTGGCGGTCAAACATTCGGTACGCGACGTGGGAAGGGGTGTGAGCGGGCAGTTTGGCTGGGAGCATTGCACGGCACTTTCTGCCAAGCATCGAGAAAATCGCCTCCCTGGATCCCAGTAAACGCCCGCCGACTCCGGCCTGACCTGGCCCACCCCCCATCCCTCCGCAGATTGAAGGCGCTGAAGCGCAAGGTGGCGAGAGCGGTGCGGGAGCAGAGGGGCCGGAGATTCGAGCCCCAGGACGCCGCGAGAATGTATGGCATGTTTTGAGACCGCCCTCGAGGGTCCCTCCCTCCCCTCACTGGCCTTGCAAGCGGGGCCTGGCCTGCCATCAGCCATGGGCCCCTGGGCCGTGCGCTCATCCCCCGTGAACCCCCTCTCCTTTTGTAACACGTCTGACAGTCTGCCGTGCACAGCATGCCCCTGCGCGGCTGCACGGCATGGCCCCGCGCTGGGGCCCAACGCATGCGAGGGCGACATTGCCCCCTGCCGCGCTCGGGAGCCTCCTCAGGCTCAGCAGATGAAGCGGTGGGCGCGCCCCTCCCGATACCCAAACATGAGGAAGTGCTCCCAGGCCTGGGAGGGGGTGTACCTGAAGGCAGGAGGGGTTGAGGGGAGATTGGAGGGGTGGGGATGGGCATGCACTGGGTGTGACGCCGGGGGGGGGGGGTACGTCCAAAAAGCGACCTCGTGGCCTGGCCTCGCTGCCATCATGATCACAACGCCATTCGCCAGGGCCACCCCCCCGATCACTCTATGGTGGCCCTCCCCCCCGCCCGCCCGCTCGCCGATCCAAGAGCCCAGCCCCCTGCTTGACCGTCCGTTCCCTGCGGGGAGTTCCCTCCCCCCTCCCCCTCCACTCCCTCCCCCTCACCCCGCAAACTCCGCCGGCGCGGCGGCGATGTACATCTCGGCGTCGAAGCAGGCGGGCCCCTTGGCGGTGATGCCCGCCAGGTGCACGCCCGCCATGTCGTGGAAGGCGTTGCGTGCCACGTCGCGTGCGCCCGCGGTCCGGTTCTCCAGGCGCCAGACGTGGTACTGCAGGGCGGGGACCACCGCGGGGCTGCGGGTGACCACCTGGTGGTGCTGCACCTTGACAAACATGATCTCCAGCGGGTGCGCATTGGCGCCGTCGTACCCGCGGTCCAGCAGCGGGTTCATGCCGCGGTTGCAGGTCCACACGCCCTCGTCCCGCCAGTCCACGCCAGCGTAGCGCAGCATGAGCGACCCGATGTTGAACCCGGCGCGCAACACCGCCTCGCTGGCGCCCACCTCCGACCAGCGCACGCCCACCAGCCAGTTCTGGTGGCAGGAGAACACGCCCGAGGCAAAGGGCGTGCCCTGCAGGATCTTCAGGCCCACGTGGTCGGTGGCCTGGAGGTAGCCCTGTAGGAGCGGGAGACGCGGGGGGTGGGGAAACCGGGGTGCAGGGGGATGTGGAGGGGTGGTGGTGACTGAAGGAGCGCTGGTGTCGACGCACGGGGCGCCACCGAGGGGGGACAGCGCCGGAGGTCCACAGGGACATCCACCATTTGCATGCTGGGGCTGCGATGGGCTGCCATTGCCCGAGTGAGGCGCGATCGACAAGCGTGCATGTGGTGGGCGCCTGCGAGCATGTCCCAGGCACTCGGACCCCCTCATCCCAGGCCGCCCCCCCCTCCGCCCGCCGCACTGTACCCCTCCACCCAGCTCCGAAAGTCACACACCTGAACATGGGGCACGTGCAACGTGGGGTGCTCGATGTTCAGTTTGATCCCAGCGCAGGAGATGGTGGCCCCCACCAGCTTGGTCTCCTGGGTGATCAGCCCCGTCAGCTGCGCGTGCCAGGGCTTCTGCGCCACGAACCCGGGGAGCGGAGGATTAGCTTGGCCGACAACAAGCGGGAGGGTAGCAGCAGCCCCAAACGAAGCAGCCCCAGGGAGAGCACTCAGACTCGCCCACGACCGACGTTGCCATGCCCGCCCAGTCATGATTATGCAGCACTGTGATTGCCCTCCCCGCCCCTCCTCCACTTTCCCCTTCTTCCTTGGAGCCCATCGCGCCGCCACACCCCCGTCAACCCCTCACCTGGCTAGCGTAGACGGGGAGGAAAGGGCCGCGGACACTGCTGTCCAGCCAGACAAAGTACTTGAACCGCGTCAGGTCCAGGCCGGCGTTCTGCAGCACCCAGCCCACAGTGCCAAAATTGTAGCAGCGCAGCCCCACCCGCACGATCTGCACATTGCTGGGCAGTTTCGCGGGGAAGAGCTCCATGATCTCCAGGTAGTAGTCGGGCTCAACCGCTATGACATAGTGCGCACCATCACCCTCCCTGCATGAGCGACACGTGTTTCCGGATGGGTTGGGTGGGTTGGACAGGCGACCTTTGGAAGGAGTGAGCGGACCCTATGATGGTGAGGGCGGGCATGCAAGGGATCACACCCCGCCCAGCGCCCCCGTAACGCAGACTACCAGCCTGCGCCGGTCTGCATGGGCCGCAGGGCAACCGCGCCCGGCGCACCGAATGCCCTGGGTCAGGAAGAAGTTGACGTTGACAAAGTTTTCTGGGTCTTCATACCCGGCCACATACACAACCAGGGTCGACGGTGTCTGGAAAAAGTAGGTGTACAGGAGGAACCTGGCTGCAATGAGGGCGGCCACCAATCCCACAAACTGCCAGAGGCGTGAGCCGGCCCTCTGCCTGAACGGTGGAGGACGGGGTGGGGTTGGTGGGTGTGGGCGAGGGCCATCGGCGGTCGGGCCACGGCAGAAGTGGGAGAGTGGCTTCACACCTGGTTTGAGATCTATATAGCGGGCTTTCAGGCCGAAGGTTGCCCCCTGGGGCGTGCACCCGCTTCTTGCGGGAATACGTCAGCATCGCCACCACCAGGGGAGCACAGTAGGTGAGTTTGGCCCGCTCCGCGACGACAGCATCAGGTGTTCATAGATGCGCTGTGGTCTTTGGAGGGGTGGAGTCACATTACGCGCATGCACAGGCCCATTAGTCCAACTTCGCAGGGGATTGGCGGTGACTTGTTCCTCGAGGGCGTGGATGGAGTGGATACTTCCGGTCCCCTGATATCTTTATTGTTCAAGCCTACTTGATAGATACAAGAAATAAGAAAGGGAATGCGTGCGTCACCCACATACGCTCGCCGCAAAGTTTGTTGAGCGCGACGCACGCAAATGGAGTCGCGACCATGTGTCTGTGTGTCATTCCCTCTGGAAGGCCGTCCAGCAGCAGAAGGAATGCAGGCCCTTGCTGAGAGCCAGGCAACAGGGAATATGCTGCAGACATGCCAACGTGAGTACAGCAATCCAGACGTCATACATCCATGATCACCTCCTCTTGCGTTTGGACCTGCGTCGGCGCCCTCGCCCGTGTCGCGGCTCGCGCGGCCGCTCGCTGCACGTCCAGTACCTTGCGTGCAGGCTGCAGGCTCTCCTTTGTCAACGTGTGCGTCGTGCCTGTACGGGGTGGCGCGGCTCAACGGGGATGTCGTGCCAGCTGGGCCAACGGCCGGCAGCCTGGGGGGCGCAGGCAAGCCCCACGCCGTCACGCGCAGGCGATCCGTGGTGCAGCCCCCGCATGCATCTAGCAAGCACCCGACCACCCAAGCACACACAACCACCACCATGTGCGAGCGGCGCCAGCACCCACCCGCCAGCGGGCAGAGGGCCTCTTTGGCAAAGCCACCTTGGTCGTAGAGGTACCGCAGCACCGCCTCCTCCTCATAAACCACGCCAATGCGGTCCTGGACTGGCCTCTTCAGGTCCATCAACTGCAGACACGTCGGGGCCGGCGGGTGGATGGGGAGGGAATGGCTGTTGTAGCCGCCGCTCGCGCCGCGCCATGCTCCGGCAGCCTCACCCGGCAACTCCTGCGACGGGGCCCACGCCTTCTCCAGCGCCCCCCCCCAATCCCCTCCCTCACCCCTTCCCCCCACCATCCACACCTGGCGGCCCGAGAGCGGGCAGATGTTGTTCAGAGCCAGGGTATTCCCATCCTCGACCTCGATGTCATCGTCCAGCCTGACCGCGCACGAGGCAACTGAAGGCCGGTGAGGAGCAGAGTGGCTCAGCCAGTGTCAGTGGACGGCACTGATCTTGCGCGCTTCCTGCTCAGGAAGGGGGTCGGCCGACCCGACCAGCCGCCTCGCGGAGCAGGAGTTCGTGGCAATCTCCCTTGATACATGCATGCAGGCATATCGCCCCAAACACCAAAAGTCCGCCCCTCTGTGCCAGCACCTCTCAACGAATTCAGCGCGGCCTCAAACAAGCCGGCAGACCGACTGGAGCATGCCTCAAACCTGAGCAGGGCTGGAGGTGGGGTGTCAAGGTGTAGAGCTGGACAGGCACCATGGGTGGAGACCTGTGGGCGGGGGAGAAACAAACGACTGCCAACCCGACATGCCGGGAACGCGTCGGCCGGGTCACAGGCTCCTGCAGGCTAGACTCACCCCTCAGACGAGGTCGGGGGCTGGAGTTCGGTGCTCAGGTGCTTTAGCAAGTCTGGGTTGGCTGGCAGCCTGTACGCCACATCGCGAAGCTTCGCCTTGACGCCTGCCGCCTCAAACTCCCCCTGCGCCAGTTGGTGGACGGCTCGGCGAAGAGCCTCGACCTGCTAGCATAGAGTAGTGATGCTTTGGGGGCTTCAAAAGCAGTCCTGGTCACACCAGCTTCCACTAGATCGAGCCGCCAAGATCCTGTAGCCGACCACAACCACCGACAGCCTGTGCAGCCCCTGCTTTGCCCCCTCTCACAGCATCCTCACACCTCGCCCCACCTTGCTGGGCTCCTGGGCCACCTGGTGGTACGTGGCTACGTCTGCGATGCTCTCCACCACCGCCTCGAATCTCTGCATGTGAGGGCAGTTGGTAGCGGTACGGTGGGCCTTGCCCCGTGCGAACATTGTTACTGGGTAACAAACAAGGCGCTCGAGTGCATCCCTCGATGTCATGGGTCATTTAAATAACTCACAGATATGTAGTTTTCGAAGACCGTTGCGTGTGCCTGGCACGCAGCGGCCACGGCACCGCTGCTCACAGGCAAGGTCGCCATGTCTGGATTGACTGCCGGAGCCAATGGCCAGACGACACACCTACATTAGTACCTCAAAATATCAATCATCTAGTCAGGGGCATCCAGGTGTACTTCGCGCGATCCTTTGTATACAACGTTCGCCGGGATCCACTTGAACCGCAACCATCGCGCGCGCGCGGGGGATCGCGACGAAGCTCGCTAAGTATCCAGTGTGGGCATCTTGGCACCGAGGAGGACGTCCATGCCAGGGATGAGGAAGGGCTTCTCACACGGCATCGACTGATCTTTGGCCTCGGAATTCCAGGTTCAAGACGTTGTGAATCAGAAGGGTGTTCCGAGGGTCGCCCAGTCCCGCAGTCAGTTGACAGCCATGATGAGCTCCTTGTGCGCCGCATCCAAGCCCCTGATACCAGCACCCATGGCTGTTGGGAGGAGTAATGCCCTCTGCCTCATTCAGCCGCGTGTGATGTGTTCATCGCTGCGCACGGCACAACCCTTGCTGCGCACCTCCATCGTGCACCCGGCGCCCCTGGTAGGTCTGTCGATGGTGAGGCTCCATGCCATCCGCGCACCCCTCCGCTCGGCTCCCTGCCGTGCTCATGTTCACAAAATCAGCGAGCCTTGCGAATCACACAATCTCCACGCTTGCAGGTCCGTCGTCCCAGCCTGCACCCCGTCGTCCCGGCCCGGGTGCCGGGCTGCCCCGCCTCCTCCTCCACCTCACCCGCCTCCCCCGGCCCCGCGCCCGCCTCCTCCCCCGCCAAGGGCCTGCGCGTCACCCTGTATATCGGCCTCTGGTACGGCTTCAACATCGTGTTCAACATCCTGAACAAGTCCGCGCTGAACGCCTTCCCCGCGCCCTGGTGCATCTCCGCCCTCCAGCTCGCCACCTCGGCCGTCTTCATGGGCACGCTGTGGATCACGCGACTCTACCCCGCCCCCACCGTCACCTGGCCCCTCATCAAGGCGCTGGCCCCCGTGGCGCTGGCCCACACCATCGGCCACGTGTCGGCCTGCGTCTCCTTCTCCCTCATGGCCGTGTCCTTTGCGCACGTGGTCAAGGCCGCGGAGCCCGTGCTGTCGGTGGCCCTCTCCCAGCTCATCCTGGGGGAGGTCAACCCGTGGTACGTCTGGGCCAGCCTGCTGCCCATCATCGGCGGCTGCTCCTTGTCGGCCATGAAGGAGGTGTCCTTCGCTTGGGCCGGCTTCAACAACGCCATGATCTCCAACTTTGGCATGGTCATGCGCAACGTGCTGTCCAAGAAGAGCCTGGGTGACGCCACGGTGGGTGTGGCTTTTTGTTGGGGCTGGCGGGCTTGTTGGTCTGGACGGCGGAGTGGTGCCATGCTGTCCAGGAGTAGTAGCACATGACGCGCGGGGCGACGTCACCCTGAAACCTTCCTGTCCACCCCTGGAAACCACCCCACCCTCCCCCAAGCTTGGCCTCAGAACAAATTGGACGGCACCAACCTCTTTGCCCTGCTCTCCTTCATCTCCCTTGTCTACACCGTGCCTGTGGCCCTGGCGGTGGAAGGTTGGCTGCGTTTGACAGGGTGGTGTGGGGGTGCTACAGTGCAGAATAGCATGCATGCTGGGTCCTGCAGGCTACCCTTGGTTTGGGAGCATGGCATGCAAGCGTGTGCTTCGGAGCCGGTAGGCTGTAGGGGCAGGGGAGCACACTCCCCCATGCCAACCATCCTCGCTCCTGCTTGCCGTGCGAAAAGAGCTGAGGCAAGGCCCCCCCCCCTTCCCCAACCCTGTCGACCCTTGACTCCATGCTTTCCTCACCTTGATTCCATTCATTCAGGTTTCAAGGGCGGCGTGTTCCAGTGGGGCACGATGTGGAGCCAGGCCGTGGCCACCCTGGGCGCACCCCAGTTCTACAAGCTGATGGCGGGGGCGGGCATCTTCTACCACCTCTACAACCAGGCATCCTACATGGTGCTGGACCAGGGCATCTCCCCCGTCACCTTCTCGGTGGGCAACACCATGAAGCGGGTGGCGGTGGTGGCCTCCTCCGTGCTCTTCTTCCGGAACCCAGTGTCAGGTGTGTTTGTGTGTTGGGGGGGCGGGGGCCGCTGAGATGGCAGGGAGATGGTTTGGAGTGGATGCATGCCTCATGTGGTGTTTCCCTCGGAGGGAAGGAATGAGGTGTGCAAGAGCCACCACGCCCCTTCGGCCCTCTTCTGCGGTATGATTGCTGTGATATGACCAGGCACCACTGGCCTGCTGGGAATGACATCCCCAAGCACTACACCACAGTTAATCATGCTGCCCCCTCGCAACCACCGCACACAGCCCTGAACTGGATTGGGTCGATGCTGGCAATTGCGGGCACCGGTCTGTACTCCCTGGCCAAGCAAAAGGCTGGCAATGATGCCAAGAAGGCCAAGCCTGCATGAGTGGTGGCGGGGCCCGACGCATGCCGGCCGCTGCCCCAGCATGAGGCGTTCTTGCTCGCTGCTTGGTGGCTGCACAGCACATTCCTGACCTCACCCAGCTGCTGCTGAGAAGCCGACAAAGGCAGCACATACCACCCAAGCACTGTACTGACCCTCACACAATCACACCATGTAAATGTAATGGACTCCTGCACAGCCAGTTTAAATTTGAGGAAAGCTCGCGCAAGGCTCGTCCTGTGTGATCCCACTGACATCCTTTTGGGTGGCCTGCAATATTCCTGGTATCGAATGCAAATGCTAGATGGTTTCACTGCACTGTGCCCCTCTCTTGGAGAGATCTTACAACAACCTCGGCAGAGGTGCTCTGCACGTGCAAACGGTCATTGCCACCGGCAGTACTGGCACCCCTGCCGGCAGTCTGCTCATGGGGCCGGGGCGCCGAGGCCGCCGCCAGCATACTTGTGGGCGCCCCTGCTGTATGCTACTTCATGCATGCTTTCCTCCCCGAGCCCCAGCATGGCCACAATGCAGGTGATGTTGTCCCCCGATCCCCGCGCCAGGGCCGCCTCCACCAGCCGCTGTCCAAGGTTGAGGGGGAAGGGATGGGGACGGGAGGTTACATCCCTGGTTTGGCACTTGAAAGACAGGGCACCCACCATGTCCCTGGTAAGTAGGGACATGCTGTAGAAGGGGTGTAAAGGCTAGCAGTCCACCGTGTGCATCTTACCACAGCTTGCCTGCACATGTAACCCCTCCCTTTCCACCAAAACATAGCCTTGCTTACCTGGGCGCACATAGTGGGGTGCTTCACCGTGTCCTGCACCAGGCAGACCGCCTCCTGATTCGTCATCACGTCCCACAACCCGTCGCTGGCAAGGATCACGAAGTCATCCTGGGGGCGGAGGTCCACTTCCAGCTTGTCGGCATCGGGGATCAGGCCGTCCTGCCGTAGGTCCAGGTCGCCGATGGCCCTGGGGATTGAAGGGCGAGGTGGGAATAGGGTGGGTTTGGTGCTCCCACGGCCTCTGGTGCACTAGCCTTGCACCCAGGCCGGCATCTATCACGACTTGGACGCCCATCCACTCTTCCTAGCGACTCCATTCCCGTCCAGTCCTGGCCCACCTGGACACGCTGAGCCCCGCTGCGCCCAGCCTGAGGCCTCCTTCCCGCCCCGTCAGCCGCCCGCCCGCCCTCGCGATCCGCGCCCGCTCCCCCTCCAGTCCCGGCGTATGCTCGGCGGTCAGCGCCAGCGCGCGCCCGCCCCTGCACAGCACGGCGCGCCCGTCCCCCACCCAGGCCAGCGCCGCGCGGCGGCAGGAAAGCAGGACCAGCAGCGCGGTGGACCCCGGGCAAGGCCCGCCCCCCCTCGCAGACCTCTCACGACCTGCACCCCACTCGGAGCAGAAGCCTGCATCGGCGGCGGCCAGGCCGGCCGCCAGCCAGGCCGCCGCGCCGCTGCTGCCGGGCAGCGCGCCCTCCAGCAGGCCCGGCAGGCGCTCCGCCAGGTACTGTGCCGCCTGGGGCCCCCGGTGCCCGTCAAACACGCCCAGCAGCGCGTGTCGGCTTCTCTGCGGCGGCCCCCGGGCGCCTCGCGGCAGGAAGTCGGGCAGGATGAAGTGGCAGTCCTCCATCCGGTCCTCCCCCCTCCGCCCGGCCACGGCTTTGGCTCCCAGCCCCAGCGGCGCCCCTGGCTGAGCGTGCCCTGGCCCATCGCGATCGTAGGCCTGGACCCATGGCGGGACGAGACCCAGGCCGCCGTTTTCTGGGGTAGCGATCTCGTCAGTCCCTCTTTCCAGTGGAGAGGGAGTGTGCCTGAACGACTCGGCCTTCTCCCCGGCCACAAGTACGGGAGGACCTGGCGAGCCGCCCCGCGGGGCCCCTGCCTCCTCCTCCTTGCCTGCCAGCTCAATGGCGAGGCGGGCGAGATCCTGGGCCACCTGCGCCGCGCCGGGCCTCTCGCCCGCGCCTGCCACCCAGCACTGGCTGATGAGCCGGGTGAGCTCGGGCGGGGCATCTGGGGCCACGCTGGGCCTGAGGCCGCCGCTGGCAATCGCAACGCGCAGGTCCTGCCTGTGCGTGTGGGGCGGCATTGCCATGAGGCCCAGGAAAGAGGGACACGAGGTGGTGTAAGGGGAGGGAGCCCAGAGAGAGCAGCGGCTGCTGCTCCACAGTGGCTCCCAAACAGCACGGACAGCCTGGGTGTACTTCATTGCCTGGCCCAGTGTGGAGCTGAGAGTGCAGGGCATCCCCAGTAAGGGAAGCCAACAGCCCTGGTCTTGCTGTGCCATCCAGCCTGACCACCCCTGTCCCCTCCCCACCCCACTTCATTCCTTTCTCCCTCATCTTCTCACACCTGCTGTACCCCATCTCCAGGCAGGTCTGCATGAGCGGGTCGTCCCGCTCCGCGTCGCTGTAGGGAAGCTGTGCGGTAGCCAGCTCGTTCAGGCAGATGCCCAGCGAGTAGATGTCGCTGGCGGGGGTGTGCCGGGCCCCCAACAGCACCTCCGGTGCCAGGTACTCCAGGGTGCCCACCATGTGCAGCTTGTGGAAGCCGCCGGAGGGCTGGCCGGTGCCAGGGGCCCGTGGGGCCTCCTCATGATGCCTCGACCCCGAGCACAGAGCGATGCCCAGGTCAGCCAGCTTGAGGAAGGCACGGCCGGCGTCCAGCAGCATGTTTGCCGGCTTGACATCCCTGAGCAGGGTTGGGAGACGGGTGCTGGGGAAATGTGGTGGAGCAGAGCGTTTCGCGTTGCCATGGCAGAGGGAGGCCCCCCCCCCGGCTCTGCCATGGGAGTCATGAGGGACCCAGCCCCACGCGACACACATGTCCAAAGTCATCCCCTGCGCCACCGAAAGCAACCTGTGGACGATGCCGTGCGCGTGCAGGTGCGACAGAGCGCTCGCTGCTTGTGACCCCAGGTGGCACAGCAGGGCCAGGGAGGGGCGCCAGCCCTCTCTGTGCAGCAGCCTGGCAGCGTCGCCCCCGGCTTCCAGCGCCGTCAGCATGAAGTAGCCGGGAGGCAGCAGGCGAGCCCCCACAAGGGTGACGAGGTTGGGGTGGGGGAGGCTGCCCAGCAGCTGGACCTCGCGTCGGAAGGCGTCGAGGTCGGTGGTGGTGCGGAGGCTGGGACGCTTGAGGGCCACAAGGGAGGGTGGCTGGTCTTGGGAGGCAGAGGGATCCCGAAACACGGCGCTCCACACAGTAGCCTGGCCTCCATGGGTCAGAGCCGATACTATGCTGATATCTGATGGAGAGATTGCAAGCGGGAAGGAGGCCTGACTGGCAAGTTGGGCTGCCCCTGCAATGTCCCCAGCCCGGACGGCAATGGCCATGGCGGCGACGACGGACTCCATGGGATGCACATCCTCACTCAAGACCATACAGAGCAGGCACGGATGTTGAGAACAAAGTGTAAGGTAGGTTATATACTGTTGCGGATGCAACAAGTGGCTCGTGTGATACTCATCGCGTTGCTGAAGAGCTCGCAAAGATTGAAGTAATATCACACTGGCTGAGAGCTCGCCATTCCCACTGGCACAGTTCGCATGAATTACGATTCACAGCATCCATATATAGTACTGATGAAGAACGTACCGACCGGCGTCGTGCTATACATGGGAACATCGCGAGGTCCCCACTGCAGAATCGTACACACGGCCTGCTGCGCTTGCTGGGCAACCATGCGGAACTCTCGAAATATGGAGCTTGTTCCATGCTCGTTAACGATCACATCAAGCCTGATTTGCATATTTACCCAAAATATAGGCTGGAATCGAAGTAACTCTTACTTCTGATCTACCGTGTGCCTCGCAAGCCGTGTCCTGGCAGGGGGCTTGAACAAGGTCCCTGTCCTGGCGGCGATGCAGAAGCCGGCTGAGCTGACGACGAGGAGTGAGTCTCCGGCCGACAATGATGGTGAGACTGGCGCTGTCATACGGTATCTCAGGAGAGGGAGGTGCCCATGCTGGTCTCCCTCGCATTGCCCACCCGGCGGTCGGCCCTCCATCAGACGAGAGTACACCGGCACTTCCTCCTTCTTCCTCCCCCATGTTACCGTGGCGTGCAGTTCCCCCTGGGTTCGAAGATGTAGAGGTGAATGAGGCTGCAGCCAAGCTGTCCTCCGTGCAGGTGGGCAGAGTCATGGATGCCATCCACCATGCCAGTGCAGGGGAGGGGGCGCTCGCAGCGCGATCCTCGTTCTCGACTGAGTCCCCTCCACCTTCCTCGAAACAGGTCAGCGAGGCAGCTCCTGATGCAGGGGATGAGCCTGACACAAGCCTGAAGACCGACTCCCTGGTGGAGCGGGATACAGAGGTCAAAAAGGTCCTGGCCGACGACACCCTGTACACATCAGGTGGGGTGCCTGCTGGGCCTGATTCCTTGGTGGGGCCAGCCTGTCAGTCCTGGGATACTGAAGCTCATGCAGTGGTGTCTGTTCCGTCCAGAGTGCCGCCCCCTTGCCCACCGACCAGCTCGTGGACCCGTTTGTGCACCGCCAGTCTCGGGACCAGATCCTCAGCCTGCAACAGGAACAAGGGCCCCCCTCAAACTCCCCCTCCCCCACCTCTGCAGCAAAAACCTTCGAGGAGCTGGGCCTCTCCCCCGAGCTCCTGCAGGGCCTGTACATCGAGATGAAGTTTGAGCGGCCCTCCAAGATCCAGGCCGAGACGCTGCCCCTGATCCTCACCCCGCCGCACCGCTCCCTCATTGCGCAAGCCCACAATGGGAGCGGGAAGACCACCTGCTTCACCCTGGCCATGCTGTCCCGGGTGGACCCGGCCCTGCACGCACCGCAGGCCCTCTGCGTCTGTCCCACCCGCGAGTTGGTCATCCAGAACGCCGCTGTGCTGGAGCGGCTGGGCAAGTACTCCGGCATCACCATGACCTCCACCGCCGCGGCAGACTACGCCACCACGCGCCGCGCGCGCATCAACGAGCAGATCGTGGTGGGGACGCACGGCAAGCTGCGCGATTGGATGAGCAAGCGGGTGCTCAGCGTCGCGGCCATGAAGGTCCTGGTCTTCGACGAGGCGGACGAGATGCTCAAGGTGCGCGGAACCCGGCGGCGGGTGGTGACATCGAACGGGGTGAGCCGGCCTTTCTCTCGTCCCACCAGGACCACCGTTGGGCCGCACCCCTCGGGATGGGGTCCCCTGGTTTGGCCACTGATCCCACCAACCCAGGCGGGTTCTCAGCAGACAGCATTGGGCACGGTGCCATTGTGGTAGGCCACATGCATTCCCTGCTTTCCACCCTCTTGCAGCAAGAGGGCTTCCTGGACGACTCGGTGCGCATGATGCGGCAGCTGCAGGCGGCCAACAAGGACCTGCAGATCCTGCTCTTCTCCGCCACCTTCAACGAGCGCGTGAAGACCTTTGCGCAGAAGGCGGTCAAGGATGCCAACCAGGTGCGAGACTGAGGGGAGCAGGGGATGTATGAAGTTTTGCACCTGAATCAATCACGTGCCGCCATGCCTGGGAATCGGCGCCATGCCCTCTGAACACCCTGTCTGCATGGAACGGCAGGGAGGGGAGGTGCGTCACCGCCAAGCTCTTCCCCTGCGCAACCTTTCCATCTCTGAACCTCCCTTGGCAGGTGTTTGTCCCCAAGGAGGACTTATCCCTGGACGTCATCAAGCAGTATCGGGTGGTGAGTCAGCGATAAGTCATGTTTGGGTAGTTATTGCGGAGACCAAGAGTATCATGATCCCGGGGCGGCCTGAATAGGCTCAGGCAGCACACTGCAATTGGATTGCAGACAGATAGGAACGCTCCCACCTCGACTGTGAGCATCTCGTCGCGATCCTCTGGTATCACAGTCGTTTATCCACGGGCCCCGCCCCTCCTCCCGCAGTACTGTCCTACCTCCGCCGACAAGGTCAAGGTCCTGCGTGACATGATTTTCCCGCAGTGCGAGCGCCTGGGCCAGACCATCATCTTTGTGCGGACGCGGGAGACGGCACGTGACGTGCACAGGCTGGTGGGCTGGCAGAGTATCAATGGCATGGGTAACACGGCCGGCGTCCCACAGTGATCCACTCTGATTGTTCGTGTGCTTGCGCGGCGTCCAAGAAAGATCCTCTAATGAGCAATGTAGGCGCCGCCCCTTGCTCCCCATTACCTAGCCTCGCCGGCTGTGGACAGGCACTTACAGCGCCTCGCCCCGCCGCCCTTCCCTCCCGCACAGATGGAGAGCGAGGGGCATAAATGCACCTCCATTCAGGGCGGCATGGACCACACCGCTCGCGACCGCGTCATCCGGGAGTTCAGGTGCAGGGTTTGGGGATTGACGTGGGGCGAGGGGAGTCAAGACGGCACCCACAGTCCGCCCTGCTACGGGGGGGGGCAGGGTCTGAGCTGCAAAGTGGGAAGCCATGAAGGGTAGGGACTCGTGCTGTGTTCTTCCCGGAATGCTCGAAGACTACCAATCCCCCTGCACCTCCTCTCCACTGACCAGGGATGGCACCACCAAAATCCTGATCAGCACAGACGTGCTTTCTCGCGGATTCGATGTCACTCAAGTATGCAGGGGGAGGGAAGGGAAGTTTGCCGCTTGCCGTGCCCATTTGCAGTGCGCCGTGACGCCCGCTCGGCAGTCACATTGATACGCCCCTGAACTGTTAGTCCCGGCCTCGCACCTCCGGCTGTGTGGCACGGCCTCATGGGCCAACCTCCCTTGCCGCCCCCAGGCTCCACTAGATTCCCCTCCTCGCCACCTGGCTTGCCCACCTCGCATTCCCCCCTGCCCACTCTTCACAGGTCACGCTGGTGATCAACCTGGACCTTCCCGTGGAGAAGGACGTGCGCATCCCCGCCTTCGAGACGTACCTGCACCGCATCGGGCGCAGCGGGCGGTTTGGGCGCAAGGGCGTGGCCTTCAACCTGGTCACAGGGGACACGGTGAGTGTGTGGGAAGAGGGAAGAGAAAGGGTGCACGCCGGCGTCATGGGACTGTGGAGGGGGCATGCACCTGGGGATTGATCAGTCCCTGATTTTTGGCGGCTCGCAACTCCCCATGCCCACCAGAGTCGTCACCTTAACTCCACAATAACACACGCCAACCAGGAGCGTCGCGTGATCGACGAGATAGAGGCGTACTTCAAGCACCCCATCCCCGAGGTGCCGTACGACAATGAGGAGGAGTTTGTCAACGTGCTGCGGAGGGCGGGGCTGACGGAGCAGGAGGCCTGAGGGCAGCATCTTGTCAAAGGGTGACCATGTCCATGCCGGAGGCTCCCAATCCGAGTAAAAAGCTAGGACTCGACCAGCATGGCCTGCTGACAAGGTCTTGCTTCATTAATTCTCAAATTACATCGAAATCAACCTGCCGATGGGTGTGCATGGAGTCATGGTCGGTTGATGGTGGAGGCGCCGATACCTCCTCACCACAAACCCCTCACCAATACCGTGGCATGACACCACGACCTTGCCTCGCTGTCTGAATCATGACGTTATATTTGTCAATGAGGAGCAGTGTGATGCATCTGCCGGGTGCGGGGCCGGGACCGAGCATCAGGCTGCATCACAGCCAGGCAGGCCCGCCGCCCCTCCCACCAGGCCCTCTCCGACACAGAGGATGCACGCGGTGCCGCGATGGCCCGACAGAAGGTCCCATGAAACCCTTGGCCAGGGAATCCGTGGCTCGTTATGTTGCGCGGGCAAAGCGGTGAGGAGGAAGCGGCATGAAGACTCCGTTCTGATCCGTGCCTTTTGTGGCTGTTTCACCTTGCTCCAGCCTGCACCCACTGCCGCACATTGAATTACCCCTCGCTCCCGCCTCAGGTCCCTGGGCCAGAACTTCCTGTTGGACGACGCCATCCTGCAACGCATCGTGGAGGCCTCTGGCCTGACCCCCGCTGACTCAGCGCTGGAGGTGGGGCCCGGCCTGGGCTCCTTGACGCGGCACCTCGCCGCCGTGGCCGCCAGCGTGACTGCAGTGGAGAAGGATGACGCATTGTATTCACGCCTGGTGAATACTCTGACCGAGGTGCGGCTGCTGTGGGAGCCCAGGGAGGGAGATCGCCCATTGGGGGGCAAGCACATCTGTTGGCGACGCTGCTGTGCAAGAGGAACCAGGGACCCCCACACCTGTTGGACCCCGCACGTATGGGAGCTCCACCAAAGGCTGCACACTGGTGGGATACATTGAGAGGTACCCAGTCCCTTGGACCAACCTCGGCAGGGCGATGTGACCTTGATTCATGGCGATGCTCTGCAGCTGGATCTTGGCACTCTGGTGGAAAGCATGGCCATGCAGGCCGCACCGCCACCTGGCGCCCCTGGGGCTTGCATTCGGGTGCTGGCCAACCTTCCTTACAACATCACCCAGCCCTTTCTGGAGCGGATCCTTCCGCTGGGGGGCCCGCTCGCCTCAGCCACGCTCCTGTTGCAGGAGGAGGCCGCAGAGCGGCTGGTCAGTGCCCGGCCCGGGGACGTGGACTGGAGGGGGGCCAACCTCCTGCTCCAATACTATAGCCGGCCCAGCATCAGGTGAGATTTGAGGGAGAGGGGGAGGATCAGAAGGACGTGGCGCAGTGCTCATTGCAGGCAGTGTCACGGCTCCGGGCCGACTGGATGCGTGGGCGGGGCTGGATCATACTCTGTGAGAGTCTGCCATGCCGCCAGGGTGGCATGGCCCCTGCTCAGCGAGGTCTGTCTGCAACCCCAGTTCCTCCAGGAAGCCAAGATGCAGCACCTCCACAAACCCCTTTCCCCCTTTACCTGCTTGATGCCAGGTTCAAGGTGCCGAGGTGGGCCTTCTCGCCAGCCCCAAAAGTGAATGGCGCTGTAGTCCACCTTGAGCTGCTGGCGCCTGAGGATCGGCCGCCCGTCCCCTCTGAGGCAGCCTTCCTGACTCTGGTGAGGTCACACCCTTTCCCCATCCATGACCTGTGACAGGGTCGGTGCCCCAGGGAACCCTGACGGGGCCGGAGGTCACGGTGCGGCAAGTGGCGGATGCCGTTGCACCGACCCCACCAAGCTGTCTGATGCCCAGCTGTCCTCAAGTTCCGGCCGAGAGAACGGGGTACCATATCCCCACCCCTCACATCACACCCGCCCTCTCTGGACGCCGGCCGGCTGCAGGTGCGATTCGCCTTCCACCAGCGCCGCAAGATGCTGAAGAACACCCTGGCGCCGCTCTTTCCCCCAAACCGGACCGAGGCGGCCCTCTTGCGCCTGGGACTGGATGCCGGCATTAGGGCAGAGAGGCTGACCCTGGATCAAATGATCCGCTTGCTGTGGGCGCTGGCAGAGACATGACCCCGCATTTTGCTCTGCAGGAGCGATAAGCTAGCCACCTGGATCAGTTTATTTGTCTGTGTGTGACTATCTACATCAGAATTGCACAACGGCCTTGCACTGCCCCTGTCTTCTGTTCCCTTCTGCCACCTCTGGCAGCCGTTTGGCGCGATGCCCTCACCTTGATGCCATTGGCAACACTAGGCAGCTCGTTGTGGTGATGGTTGAGCTTCTCTCAACCATAGGACAAGCACGGCAAGTGTTGGCAGTCTTGCAGAGATTGCGCAAGGTGCAATGCGAGTCCAGCTTCACATGCAGTGTACGGTCCTATTAGTCCACTCTTCCTGCTGTACCTCTTTAAACCATGGTCGTTGCCACAGACCCTGGCCACTGTGGATATGGGGTATTGCAGCCTGGTCACAGCACCTCAAACGAGAAACGCGATCGCTCTGCTTCTTGTGTATGGACCGTAATATGCCAATTTGTCTGAGGCACAGGCACGCAGCACATTTCCATTGCGACAGCATCACCCTCAACTGATCATGCCAACGACGCATGTAGCTGGATCAGGGACCCTGGAGCCTCGTGAAAATTGGGGGCCAGAGTGCAATCGAGCGTAACCTCGCCCCCCAGGCGCCTTCAGAGAAGGCGCCGAGCCATGCAGCTTGCCTGTTGCGAGGCCAGGGTAGGGGCGCACAGCGAGGCACACGTTCAACACAGCTGTACTACTGTCACGATCACAACATGAGCTCAGCACACTCCACATGCCCCATCTGTCAGATGCTTTACCCGACTAATAACCGCATGGCTCCAAGAACTCAAGCGGCGAAGACTCAGTAACGCACTTCTGTCCTCTTAAATGATGGAACACGACTCGATGCACCGGCTGTCTTAACGCAGGTCCAGCCTCGCAGAACTCTTTCGTACCAAGTTTGCATTGCCAAGTTCTCGGTGAAAAGGTTCTTCGAGGCAGAGATGGAAATCTATGCGCAAGATCGAGAGCGAGAGCCACGTTGCATTGTCTCCGCACGCTTCATGCAGATTATTCCACCTGTCACTCTCTCCCGTACGACTCAGCCTACGGAAGGGTCGCCGGCCGCTTGCCATCTACGTCCGGACTCCCACAGGTCCGCTTCAACATCCGGCTATCGCAGCAAGAAAAATGCAGGGGCTCTCCTCATCCACTACAAATCACTGCAAATATTAAGGCCTGGAGACGCCCGATAGATACCGCAAACATTCTCTAGCGATGTGCACTGCCTAGATTTGATTCCGTAAAGCAGCCACTGCAACCTTGGCATGTTCGGGTCCCGCCCCACCACCCTGCGTTGGGCGCTCTTCATTATTTGGCACGCGAGCCTTGCTGCGGCGGTGAGAAAATAAAGCCTGATGTACTTGAACGCAACGATCCAACCCAGTGCTGAACCTCGCCCTGTTTCCTTCCCATCCTTGCCCCGGTTGCTCCGCGCAGGATACGGCGACCATCACCCTGAATTTCATCGAGTGCATTCATCCCTCCAGCGAGGGCAAGCCTACAAGCTTCATCACATGCACTGCTAGTGTGACGGCGTCCGATATGCCTCTCAACTCTTACTGGATCGACTACGTGTGGGGTAGTGCTCAGGGCTCGGTCGAGGTTCCAGCCAAACAGCTCACCAGCTTCGTTACCTGGAGCGATGTTGGGACCTCCATTGAGGGGTCTGCGTTCGCATGGTATCAGACCTCAGACGGCACGTACATTCATTCCTCAAGAATTCCCATTGCCCCATTTAGGAGCCCCCCCCCTCCACACCCTGCCCCCCCGCCACCACCATCGCCCCCGCCCCCTCCATCGCCTCCACCCCCCGATCTAGCTGTCTTCGACACTGCTGATTGCCACAAGGTGTACTCAGAAAGGATCTCCTGCACCGTTGGCATGACCTTGCAACAGCTGCCGACAGTGGTGGTGCTCACCTTCAACATGTCGGACGGCTCAAACTATCAGCAGCAGTATGTGAGCAGATCTACCAAAATGACGTACACTGCAATCTTCATTGCCTTTTCGCCCCTGGGAACAGTAACAGCCACCGTCATGGCGGGCGATCCTATCATTGTCGGGCCCTACCCAATCAGCGACGATTCCCTCTCTCCCCCGCCCCCCAGTCCCTTCCCGCCGCCCTCTCCACCCCCCCCCATTGCCATCGTGCTGAGCGATGCAATGTGCAAGCAGCAGGAGGACGAGCTCTACAGGTGCCAGGTCCAGGTGGCCAGTGATAGGCTGCTGGCGCTCATCATCGTCAAGTACAAGGTCGGCGGGGTGGATGCCTCCCAGACCTATGCGCCCGATGACCTGATCACGATGAGCACCGTCACCGTCACCACGAACTCCATGG